CAGGGTTGCTCGTCCTCATGAATATGGATTTTTTTTTGAAACTTTCTTTTTTGTCTGTGTTTTGACCTTCCAACCTCACAAAAACAGTGTTGAGAGTGGTGAACATGCTTTATAGCGCTGCATGGCTGATAGCCCAGCTGCTTCTGTGCGCTCAGTAATGACAGGTTTGATTACATGATGTTACCAACCACACAAACTGTTACATTTATCTTTGCTTTAAAACTTGAGGAGAAATCTTTTGAATAGCACTGTGAAGGTTTTCTAGAATCAGACTACCTTTATAAAAGTACTTGGACTGCTGTTTTTAAGGTTTGCTTATGTGCTGTTCTCCACCTTTCAGACTGAGGAGAGCAGTGTTTATTAAAGCACTGCAGAGAATGTGTTGCTAGTCCCCCCTTTTTGCTGTGATTTAGAAGGTAGGGTCCTTGTATTTTAGTTTCTTGAAAGACACATTGTGGGTGACATGAAATATTTATTTGTTGACACACTACTGGCTGCACTTTGTTTCCAGATTAATCGATTCATTGAAGCTGTGATGAACCGATTAATCGATTATAGAAATCGGCTTATGTACACTCTCAGAAAAAAAAAAAATAAGTAGGAGACTGTCACTGGGTCAGTGCCCCTCTTATCACTGGGGTGGGACCCTCAAGGGTCCATCTCAGTACCTTCAGTCAGGGAACATAACTGAACCATAATCCACTGAAATGATATGTTCTAAGCTGTACTGACTCCACACACCCCGTCTCGTCTCCAGGCTTTTATTTTACTGTTCTGTTTAAAACATTCGGTTATGAAAAGGTACAAATACGAACCTTTCACCTGGAAAAACTCATTTAAGGTTCGCAATCAGACCTTAAAACCACTGTTGGAGCTTTGAGGGAACATTTACACTGTTTGTACCCTGATGAAGGAAAAATGAACCTTCACAGAACCTTTATTTCTAACAGTGTAGCAGCCCTGTGTTACAGTTTATCCAATCACTTGCATTACATAAACACTCATCAGAGACTGCAGGGCTAGATTTTTAATTTTATTTATTATTTCTTGTCTGATTGGTGAAGCAACTACCGGGCTTGTTGAAAAAGGAATCCCGACGATGAAGAGACCAATGAGTCTCGTCTGTTCAGTGTCCGTGGCGCCTGTCAAAAGTGGAAAGATTGAGCGTCACTGTGAAGCAAAACACTTTGAATTAAACTACCCACAAAATTCAGTTTGGAAGACGACTAACAACCCAAAGTTCAACATGAAAGATCCTGAAAGGTCCATCAGAGTGCTCGTCCATTCCCTGACAGCACAAGGGCATGGAGTGCTCAATGAGAAGAGCCTTTATGATTGTTTATTTAAATTTAATTTTAGTTTATTTTTATTTATTTAGCTTATGAAAAGATAGGAATTTTGTCTTCTGTGGGCATTTTTTTAATGACTTCTTTCTTCCAAAAAATATTTTGGCTTGCTTATTTATTTATTTATTTATTTTACAAATAATAGCTAAGGCCCGTACAATTTTAAAATGCTTATTAAATTGTAAAAAATACCTTAAAAATAAAACAGTCTATCGAAATGCACCAATGAGCCAAAACATTATAACGCTGCTTATCTCATAATAATCGTGCATGTCAAGGTCTGTTAGATATTAGGTGGTATGCTCTGGGTGATGTTCTGCTGGGAAACCCTTTGTCTGGGCATTCATGTGGCCGTCAGTTTGACACGTGCCACCTATCTAAACATCGCAGACCAGGTTCACCTCTTCATGCTCATGATGTTCCGCAGTGGTGTTGGCCTCCTTCAGCAGGATGGTGCACCCTGCCACACTGCACACAGTTCAGGAACAGGTTGAACAGGAGCAAGAATTCAAGGTGTTGCCCTGGACTCCAAACACCTCACATCTCAATCTGATTCAGCATCTGTGTGTCCGATCTGCAGCGGCTCCACCGCACAACTTACAGGACTTAAAGGATCTGCTGCTGATGTCTTGGTGCCAGATACCACAGAACACCCTCAGAGTTCTTGAAGAGTCCGTGCTTTGGCGGGTCAGAGCCGTTTTGGTGTGTTGGTAGGTGGTCATAATGAGTGTGTTTACATGCACTCAATAATCCGATTATAATTGGATTTCTGCAGTTATCTGATTATTCATATGGTCATTTAAACAGCACACTGATTTCTTAGATCAGATTAAGGTCTAGAAATCTGATAAAGAGGCTGGACTTCAGCTCAGTAATCAGATTTCTCGGGGCATGTAAACTCTTACTCTGATTTCTTTCGGGTTTCTCAGTTTGCTCATGTGTGAAAACAGACCGCGGTACTGGAAATAAGCAAGCAGCGTTTGGAGCGAAGCTGGAACCGACTACGTGCTCGACGAAATGAAGGATTTAAATGTTCTTCATCCTCTATGATGTATGTTCATGTTTTCAGCTAAAGTGACTCGATGTTTAAAAAAAGCCGCGGCATAAAGTTTGAGTTTTACATTACGTTTATGTCTCGTCTTCTTTTCTGAGTTTTTTGGCTGGTTGCAAAGCAGATCTGATCTAAATCTGATTACTGTCTGACTCGTGTAGATCCGGAGTTTCCCCATTATCTGATTCCTCAAGCGCATGTAAACGTGTTGATCGGATTACTGACAAAATCTGATTTTCTGCAGTTATCAGATTATTAAGTGCAAAAACGTAAACATAATGTAAACGCACTCATTGGTGTATTGCTGTGTGAGTTGGATGTAACTGGATTTTTCCAAGTTTTAATTTAACACTCCAGATTCACGCTGCTCCAAATGCCCTTTAGCATGGCTGCTAAAAAACATTTTCAGCCTCCATCCTTCTTTCATTGGCACTCCTCCTTCGCTCTCCCGCTCTGTCTCTATTACTTTCATTCACCGTGGCATCCCTCCATCCCCCGAAAGTATTTATGGCTGTGTGACAGCTATATCACGCCCTGCCGATCCGCCACTGTAAGCTGATATCAGATCGCTCTATTATGGACACACACACACACACACACACACACACACACACACACACACACAGATGCTGTCAGCACAGACAAACATCTTATCTCCACTGTGTGTTTTGCACAGTCCTCCAAAAAACGATCTTGTGGAACGAAGGTGATGTTTGTGCCCCTCTCTGTATTCGTTTCTGCTTCCTGTTTGCTTCTAATGGAGATTAAAACATAATACAGTTGTGTTTAATGAAGGTAAACTAAGATCATCATCTTATTTCTTCTGCGTCCCCTCAGCCCGGCTGCCTCCCCTCACTCGCTTCCAAGAACAGCTACAGTACTGTGTAAAACTCAGAGACCACCTTTCATTTATTTCATTTATTTATTTCCAGTCAAAACAGACTTGACATTTGACAGATTCCTCAGCAGCTCAGTCTAATCTCAGCTGTCTGAGTGTTCAGTGTGCCGCTCTTTACCTTTATTCCAGCTTCCATTCTTTTTTCAGGAGACTCACTTTCAGCTCCTCAAAGAATCTGCAGACACACCTCCAAAGTTCAGTCTTAGAAGCTGGTTGATCATTTTCTGAAGTAATCAAACCCATTCAGTGGTGTTGAGGTCTGGACTCTGGGGTGGTCAGTCCATCGTTCAGCTTCTTTGTTTGATGTGTCCGTCTCCTTTTCTCAGTGAGGTTCTTCTTGATCAGCTACACATCCTTTCAGACCCACAGCGCTGAGTCGTCTTCTCACAGTGGAAGGATGGACAGAAACACCTGTGGATGTTTTCAGATCTGAAGCAGCTTGATTTTCTCCTCTCTCTCAGAGATGAAAGCTTTAAGTGCTGTTTATCTGATGGGGGCAGTGTTGGTGTCGACCAGCTCTTCCAGGTGGTTGTTAGGAGTCACATTTTCTCTGTAGCTTTTAATCAGTGTTTGAACTCCTCTTTTTTCACTTTGACTTTCTCTTTTCTTTTGCAAAAGAGTTCTTATATCTCCTCAGAAACATCTCCTGAAAAACGAAAACCTGTACTTAATAGCTGATTCGACTGAAAATTAAATTAATGGCAGTTTGCCTCAGGCAGACCTTGTGCTTTTCAGGTTTGTGTGTGTGTGTGTGTGTGTGTGTGTGTGTGTGTAATGAGGCAGCACCTGCAGTGCAGAGTCCCATGAGGCTAGCACTGTCCTCGCATCTCTCAGACTCTCCTCTGGCTAATAGCCTCAATTAACCAGCATTTAAACTTGCCCTTGTGCCAGGATAAATACAGCATCCAATATATTTTCCTACAGTCCATTTACTCTCTCCCAAAGCCACAAGCCAGGATGTTACGCTCTGGAGTTTCTCACATAGATATGTTTGGTTCATTTAGAGGACATATATCATGGAAACCTGTCATTTAAAATAAAAAAAAACACTCTTAATTTCAAAATATGTTCACTTTCCAGTCAGTATGACTCATATAATAATAGAAAATCGGACCGCAATTTAAATTCATCGTTTTTGTGATGATAAAGAAAGTAACTTTCCTACAAACCAGCATGGTCTGCTTTTTTGAATGAGGTGCAGTACAGGCAGCCAATCAGAGCAGAATTCCTTCACCTGTATTAGGCTTACATACACAGTACCAAACAACTTGTACGGTTCTAGAGGATAAAGAGAAGTTTGAAAATGGTTATTTAAATCTAATTTTGACTCTCCTTGGTGCACAAACGTCATAAATGGAGCTTGTGGTGAAAAGAAAAGTGAATGCAGGATAAGGGCCTGTTTTCAGATCGGTGCATGGAGAGATACCGACTTTCTGACTCGTTCATTATGCGTCAGAGGTCAAATGTAATTGAAATTCTTTGTCGCAGCGTCAAGATGTAGACAAATGATTGTCAGACTTTGGTTTTTAATGTTTTCACCAGACTGATGGGTTCTGATATTTGACGACTGCCTCAAGTAAAACAGAGCGTGAAATTTGCTGCGCCGCTTCCTGACCTGAAAGGCCGGGACTTGGGGAAGGGCTGACATTTAAGTGACTGTGATTGCAGAATGAATCTGAGATTGTGGGTATCTCTTTTCCTTCAGGCACAAGCAACGGGTCGGTGCTGGTGTACAACCTGACCAGCGGTCTGCTGCACAAAGAGCTGAGCGTCCATTCCTGTGAAGTCAGGTGAGGGATGTTGTATTTGATTACTGTGATGTGAAAGGAGCACCCCCTCGTTTTCCAGCCTAATCTCTGTCACGTTTATATTGTAAGGTCGATTAACACGGTGATTTTTAATGTTTTTAGTAATAGAGCAGAAAACCTGTTCAAAGCTGATTGGCAGGTGCTGAACTCACCATTGATTGAGCAGTAGAACACAAGGCGGAGTACATTTTTTGTGCTACCCGTGATGGCTGTGATTCGGTCACAGGCACAAGCCGAAGGAGAGTACAGCAGATCAGCTGTGACGTCGTTCACTGTAACACAGTGTTCTCTTGCTTTTATACAACTGTTCTGCAAAAATAAAGAAAAAGAAGCCCTGAACGTTTTATCAAATGTGCTTTAATATTGTCTTCCGCCAAAACAGTAGTACCCTTTTTGCGCTACAGACAACCATAAAACTGTGGAAGTATAGCAAATTTAATCCATTTGTATATTTTCTTTATTCCTTTGTAGCTTTTTTATATTAGGTATGTGATTTCAAAGGAAAACAAAAACTGAGAATTTTCGCTTTGGTGCATCATTAGCCTAAACCAGAGGTCGGCAACACAAATGTTAAGAAGAGCCATTTTGTCCTTTCAACAAAAATGAAACCATTTTGGGAGCCACAACACTTTATGTCCATTTTACCATCTTGGCTGTAAATATGTCTCAGTATGTGCTGATGTCCTAGTATAGGATAAAAAATATAATAGCCTATACACAAAAACGCAGACTGCCTTAAGCCTTAGCTCAGCTATAACTGCTTTTCTCGCATCTCCGGCAGGAAACTTTTCCACAAAAGTAGAACAGTTTTTGGATAATGTCTCTCAATGTGTGTTTTTTACGAGGCTGAAGTCGCTTCTTATTCGCCAGCTTCTTGTTTGAATTTTCCTGTTCCACCTTAAAAGGTGTCCAAGGCACTACAATGTAACTGCTGCACCATTTAAGGTGGAACGGGAAAATTCTAACAAGAAGCTGGCGAATGAGAAACTGACTTGAGCTCTGTGACTTTTTAGTGTTTCACAGTTTCTCGTTGCAGATTAAACGTATCAGGAAACCAGCTGGAGTGACTATAAACACAAATAAGTCCATTCATCTCCCATTTATAGATGCTCATCTTAAATCTTTCTCTTTCCTCTTTCTTTAGCCACTAGCTAGGCCAGATTGTTGTATGTGTTGCTATAGTGACCAGCAGTCTGCGCTGATCTTCAGGGTTAAAGGGTGAATTAGCAGTTCTACATTAACTCCAGAGTTTAAGACCATTTATTTAACTGTGTTGAACGATCAGCAGAGCTTTATTTTACTGTAAAGGAGGATTATTTTATTTTTACCTACTAATCAAATTTAAAACCGAACAAGAAATCAAAGCAAACAGGAATATGACCATGGTCTGCAAATCATTATAGCAGCTGGTACTGTGCTTCCTTTTATATTTTGTCTTATATTGCTTCAAGTATCATTCTTGTTTCATAAGTCTTGGTCAGTGCGTTTGCTTTTTTGTGCCTGTCCAGAGACTCCAACTGGAAACTAGCCAAATTGGTTAAACTCCTATCATCACTGTCCAAGGGTCTGGATCCGAATGTGTTCAGTGTGTTGACCTACTCTGTCAGCCTGACAGCCCAGTAGTTTTTCTTCATAGATTAATATGGCTGGTCAGAAGGAGAGTTGTAAAAACAGGCTGTTAGCTGGCAGGACGTGCTCAGCGTCACTGATCCAGTTTTCCCATTCTAATTTCAGCAGAAACAGGAAGAGCAGAGCGAAAAATCGATTAGTTTTTCAAGCCATCACAGGGTGATGGAACATTCAATGAGAACTATTTCAAAAATCAATTATCATATCTTGCTATCTATGAATGAATGTGTATGTATATTTAACTGTGGGGGCATGGCGTTTTGTAAGTGTATGCAAGTGTATGCAGTTATGTTAAATTCAGCCACTAAAGTCTAAGTGTGTTCTCTATAAAGATCAACAAAACAGCAAAAATCAACTAAACATATCATTTGACCAGAGGCTCCCAGACTTGTGCATACGACTGTGTGTATCATGGTAGTGGTGCAGTTGGTGTTGAATGTGTTCATGTTACTGTCTGACTGTTCAGTCTGTTTTGAAATGGGAAGCTTAAAGGAGGCCTGGCGATAGTGTGAGGTGATATCAGTGCTTTAAAAGGTGATAATTGCAATGTTGGGAAAAAGAAAAGACAGAGAACTGGAGAGGACTAATGTACATTTAAACAGCTTGCTAAATAGTATTTAAATACTGTTTATGTATAGGGTGTGTCTCAAAACCTAGTGAGCTCTCTACATAGACAGCATTTTGCGTGCGCGCTCCCGACAAGAAGGCTGTCCCAATTCTTAGATATCTCAAACATGCTGCCTACTGAGGTCTCTCATTTTGGCCCAATATCGAGAGAGCATCGGATGTTTCCTCAGCCGCCGAGGCAATCCCGCGATGCAGCGCGGGGCAGCTTTTGTTTGAAGATGGCGGGCAGAAGCGCTTCACCAAGCTGCGACGTCATCTTCAAATGCAAGTTATTCTGATTTTCTGGGGTATTTATCTGTTTTCTAGTCATAAAGGTGCACAAATAGCCTATACTTTCCGCGTTTGACCACAACTACTGTCTATTTTGCTGTTTCATTCAGAGCAAATACAATTAAAATCGCTGTATAAACCGTCAGAGCAGATCCATGTTGGCTAAATGTGTTTCTGATGGCTGAGGTAAGTAAACGCCGGTCTCATGCAGTGGGCGGGAACAAGCGGCGACGGTCACTGCTGTCTAACTAGAGCGTCTCATTTATCTGACTTATAAGGACAGATGATGGTTGGAACGCTGCCTACTTAGACAGCTGCCTATGTAGACAGCGGCTACTTAGAGAGCTCACTAGGTTTTGAGACACACCCATAATGTTTTATTCAGTTTTACTGTTAAAGCACGGGCTTGTTATGTATTTTTGAGAAGGCTACAGTAGAATTATTGCCTGAGAAAAATAGGCTTCATTTTCCATGCAGGGAAAGTTAAATTATGAAAATAACGAAATATATTTTTACATGAATTCTAGCGAGGTGCTGTAAGAAGATGCCACCGTTGCAACAAGTCAGTTCGCGAAATTTCTTCCCTCCTAGATTTTCCACGATCAACTGTGAGTGTATTATTGAAAAGTGGAAGTGTTGGGGAACCACAGCAGCTTAGACACAAAGTGTCAGACCATGTAAAGTTACAGAGCGGGTCGCTGAGTGCTGAGGAGCATAGAGCATAAGAGTCACCAACACTCTGCTGATCAATAACTGCAGAGTTCAAACCTCCAAACTGAGTCTGGGTTTGGCGAATGCCAGGAGAACGTCACCTGCCTGACTGCACTGTGCCAGCTGTAGAGTTTGGTGAAGGAGGGATGATGATATGGGGCTGTTTTTCAGGGGTTGGTCTAGAACCCTTAGTTCCAGTGAAGGGAAATCTTAATGCTTCAGCACCAAGACATTTTGGACAATCGTACACTTCCAACTTTGTGTGAGCAGTTTGGGGAAGGCCCTTTTCTGTTCCAGCATGACTGAGCCCAAAAGTTGTCGAGCATGGCTTTGGAACTCACTTGCAGTCTGAAGTTTCTCCTTCAAGGGTCACTATTAGCAATGCGAGTCACTATGGATCTACACCAAAAGGAGCTCATGAATGCATGTTTGCAGTAACAACTATTAAAATAACAGGTGGAGTATTTTTTAAAAATATGTGGGGTTGGTCAATATTATATTATTTAACTGTTTTATTTTGTTAAATGCTTTAAAAAAGCAAATTAGCTAAAAATTGAGTATAGCGTAGGCAGCTTCTCTTTGCTGGGGGCAGTGATAGAATCAATATTTGTTATCAGAGTACCTTATCCGAGTACTGCCGTCAGGTCATTTTTTCATCTTTTTTCTAGTTAAACAGTTTCACAGCAGGTTTAAAACTCGACAGCTCAACAGCAGATCTGTTATTGTGCCGAAATCGCAATCACAGGTTTTTCTGGACGTATTAGAGAAAAGTCTCTTTCACGTAGTGTTAGTACAGCACAGGGGCTTCACTGAAACTCTGACACATTTTAGTAAGTTACTGTTTAAAATATACTGTGGAATGTGGGAGTGTGGGATTTAACTGGAATGGAGGGGTTGATGTGGCTGCAATGAGTCCAGGGGTCAGCAGCATACGGCTATTTTACTGCTTTGTTACTGCAGAATTAGATTTGTAGGTAAAAATAAAATAATCCTCCTTTACAGTAAAATAAAGCTCTGCTGATCGTTCAACACAGTTTAACAGTAAATGGTCTTAAACTCTGGAGTTAATGTTGAACTGCTAATTCACCCTTTAACCCTGAAGGTTGGCGCGCAGACTGCTGGTCACCGTAGCAAAGCAGACATCAATAATTTGGAGACGAATGGACTTATTTACATTTATAATCACTCCAGCTGGTTTCCTGATACGTTTAATCTGCATGAGAAACTGTCAAACACTAAAAAGTCGTAAAGATGAAGTCAGATTCTCATTCGCCAGCTTCTTGTTCAGATTTTTCCGTTCCTCCTTAAATGGTGCAACAGTTACATTCTGGCACCATTTAAGGTGGAACGGGAAAATTCGAACAAGAAGCTGGCGAATGACTTCAGCCTCGTAAAAAGTTGAACATTTAGAGACATTTTACATTTTGCTCTACCTTTGAGGAAAAGTTTCCTGCCGGAGATGCGAGAAAAGCGGCTATAGCTGAACTAAAGCTTAAAGCAGAGCAAAGTAAGTCTGCGTTTTCATGTAGTACGTCAGCACATACTGAGGACATACGGACATAAAATATTGTGGCTTCCAAGGTGGTTTGATTTTTGTTGATAGGACAAAATGGCTCTTCTTAACATTTGGGTAGTGACCCCTGAGCTAGACAGACAATAGAACTTTGCTATCTGCATAGTCAGCGCTAAACACGTTGCCATTCTTATTCAAACGTGAATATATTTATAAAAGTGTAAACCAAGAGTTACAAAATAAGACGAGATTTGTATTTGATTATTTTGAACTTATAAACATCTTATACATCTTATGGACCCCAAATCAGAAAAATACATAAAAGTTACAATAAACAAAAACATATCTTTAAAGGATCAGTCTGAATTTGAAATTAGATTTTTTCCTTTTAATGAAAGCCTCACTGATATAGAACTGTTATTGTCTCGGTCGCTTTCTTCATCACCGTTTCCCTCAGAGAAGCACATCCACCTCAATAAAACCTCCGTGGCTCAGACGAGGATTAAAAACTTTATGGGCCTTATCCCGGAAAAACAAACTAAACGAGCAGGCTTTGATATCCTGACGCCTCGGCGCTTCTGAGGGATAGAATTAATCCTCTGGTTGCTGCTGGTGAGCTGCTCGGGAGAGTGCCCGCAGCCCTCGTCTCATTAATTACCATTCTCTTAATGAGCGAAGAAACAATTTCACCCTTACAATTATGCCAGAGATTGAATCAATTATATCATTAAGCGATTGATTAGAAACAAACACCATCCATTCTCTCGTTGTCAGGCCTCTCCTCATTAGAGCAGCGTCTTCACGCACGTCCAGCGTCCGAGGCTTTAACTGAAGAGTCTCGCTTCACGTTAAACTCCCAACTCCTGGATTTTCTGCAGTGCATTCTAACATTTAGCCACTCACTTTCAGAAAAAAGAGGCACTAAACTGTATCATTCAGGGTACAAATGCTTATCATTGTGGTCTCCGGTACCGTAGTCCTTCGCAGTTATGTGTTTTAAGTCGCTCACTACACCCTGTTCTGGCTCCAGGCTTTTCATTATTTATTTATTGAAGTTATGACTGTACAAATATGTACCTTTCCTTTACCCTTCATTTAAAGTGCACAGTTGGACCTTAAGGGCACTGTTGTACCTTTCAGGGTACATTTATTATTGCTTGTACCTTCAGGGACTAAAATCTACCTGGATTTACTGAGCTTAAAGTCACTAAAGGCACTTTTAATGCGACACATGCTCACTAAAGTTGATTATTCACTCTTACTGATAACACTGATTGAATATCTTTTGAACTGAAAGGTTTTAATGAAATCGTTAGTACAAATAAGCGTATAAATAGTGAACTTGAGCTGTTTTATTGATTTTTGAAGTGAATCTAAGTTGTTGAAGGAACAGGTTCAGTTTTTTTCTGCACATTTAAGCGTTTAGTGCAGTTTCTTTTCATTTGCTAAGTTTAACATATTGGAGAAAAACAAAAAACACAAAATAACGTGCCGTAACTTTTGCACAGGCCATATTTTGTGTTTAAGTTTAGCAAATAAACAGTGATTTCTCATTAAAATGGGCAGTTGTGTTCTTGTTTTCACTCAGAATTAAAAGGAAAATCAACAAAACGTAATTTGATGTAATGTTTGCATGCATATATAGTATTTATTAGGGCAGTGTGTTTTTACTAGTAAAAGAAAGTCATTATATAACAGAATGAACACAAATATAATAACATAAATATAGTAAAACATAATACAGTTAGAAGAATATAGGTTTGGCTTCTCTCTGCACTACAGCCGTCGCATGGATTGGTTCAGTTCCATCAGCAGCATCTGATTAAACATAATAAAGGATTGATTAGATAAATAGTGTTTATATAATAACTATAAAAGACGCAGAGTTTCCGAGATGAGCTTTGGAAATGGTTTAAAGAACACATTAATGTGCAAAAAACTTAATGCAAAATATGCTGATTGTGTTCCGTTTGTGTAATTTAATAAAAATATATTGTAATGTAACTAAATTTTGGAACATATTGACGAAATATTGCTGTGTTCAATTTTTTACATTTTTTAAATTTCTTCTCATTATTCGTTACTACAGCGTCGCCCCATTTGAGCGAAGTATTTCTTTAAAATCTCAGTTTGAAAGTCCTTTTAAGGCGCTCCAAAGAAAACATCTCATTTCTCTTTCTATCTGAAGTCCTCATGCTGTCATTTTCTCTCCTTCATCTACTTGCCATCAATCTCTCTTTCTCTCTCTCTCGGGTCACTCCCCGCTGCTGGTAGGAGTGTGATGGACACACGCAGTCTGTAGACACACACACACACACAGTATAAAAGTTAGCTGGAGTCCTCTGCCCTCGTTCCATGGAGAGCTTCGTTTCCATATCATTTGCATATTTCAGAGAAAAGTGGGCTAATTAATCATGTGGCCGTTTAGCATCTCATTAGTACTCAACGATGGATCCCCAGCCAGCGCTGAAACGACACCCCTTCTCTCCGCACTCTGATCTCTGCCGACAGCTCTTCAGCCCTCGCTTCCCCACGCCTGCCTCCCCAGAGCCTTGGAAAGGTTCTGAACTAAGTTTTTTTTGTTTTGTTTTGTTTTGCTTTTGTTTTTATTGTCTTCACCACTTAGTTTGGATAAACCATGAATGTTTATGGGTCCACAGGTAGGTTTGGACCCTTTTTTAGACTGAATACAGACCTGCCCAATCAAATAACCATGAAAACCTTCAGATAGAACTGCTCATGTGCTAACCTGAAAGGCAAAGCAAAACCCCCATATGACAGCAAAGGTCCTGATGGAAGTGATGGTACATGATTCTATTGTGCAGCATTGCTTGTTCGAACATGATCTGCATGGACGAGTCATCAACAGGAAACCTCATCTGTGACTTCACCACAAACGGCAACATTAGAATTGTGTGCACAACAACATCTAGATGAGCCAGAGACATTTTAGAAACGTGCCGTGGGCTGATGAAGTAAAAATGAAACTCTTTGGCCACAATCAGCAAAGGTGTGTTTGGAGAAAAAACAAGGAGCAGTATTTGATGAACGGAACCCCCTGCCAACTGTAAAGAGCTGGATCTGTTAGGTTTTGGGGTTGTGTGGCAGACAGTTGTTTTGTACTAACAATGTTTTTGTACTAACAATGTTTACTATCCGGTGTCGACCAGAGGAGGATGGGTTCCCCTTCTGAGTCTTGGTTCCTCTCAAGGTTTGTTCCTGTTCCTAGGGAGTTTTTCCTTGCCACTGTCGCCACTGGTGACGCTCATGGGGGCTTGGACCCTTATTTCTTTCTGTAATGCTGATTTCCTTGTAAAGCTGCTTTGTGACAACACCTGTTGTAAAAAGCGCTATATAAATAAACTTTACTTACTTTACTTACAGTGGGAAACACTACATGGATAGATTGAATAATTGATTCTACTGAAAAGCAACACATTCTGGAAGCAAATGTGAGCAACTTTAAAGGGGCTGGTTACTACAGGACAATGATCCAAAACATACCATCAAAATCCACATTGAACTACTTCAAGAAATGCAAGCTGCAGTACAAAAAATGGTATCTTGTCAAGTAAAATTATATTAAATGTAGTCATTAAATCTAATATTTCTCCTGGTACCATTGTTGTAAACTAAATTTAAGATTATTTACCTCATTCCTAGACATTTTTACTTGTTTTGAGTAACTATTAAGCAAAATAATCTCATTATATTGTTAGATAATTTTGCTTGTTGTAAGAAATGCGCATGAAACCAGCAAAACTATCTACCAGTATAGTGAGATTATTTTACGTGATAAAATGACCTAAAACAAGTAAAAATGTCTGGAAATACTTTAGACAATCTTATAATAAGTGCACAACATCTCAAAATGGGAAATATTAGATAGATTGACTAGATTTAAGATCATTTCTCTTGAAAAGACACGATTTTTTGCAGCGTGAAGCTTTTGAAATGGCCTCAAAGGCCAGACATCACTAAAAAAAAACCCTATGGGAAGAACTTATACATGGTGTGCATTTAACATGCAAGAAAGTCCAAGGATATTGCAGGTCTAGAAGCATTCAGCCAGGAATTCCTAAAATGGGAACAGAAAGATTCCTAGTGGCCTATAGAGTGTTTACAGTGTTTGCAAGCTGTGTCCAAAATTGTGAACAAGCCACACTTACTATGTACCTTTTTATATTCAAAGCAAATATAAGATAACTGTCCATTAACATCTGCAGAAAAAATGTTATTTTCTAAAATAGTCAGTTGAAAATGTGGCGTTAACCTTTTACCTCATGTAATTTGGTGGAGTGTCTGGATTTTTGGTGTGGACGATAGAGATTAGGTTGAAAGTGTTTGGAGTGTTCCTTAACATGAAGTCTAGAACAATGTATGCATCTGATCTGATGATTGAACTGTGAACAAGACCTTCATATATCTCTCTCTCTCTCTCTATCTCTATCTCTCTCTTACTCCCTTTTCTCCCTTCCACAGAGGGATTGAGTGGGTTAGTCTGACCAGTTTCCTGTCCTTCGCCACCTCGGCTCCTAACAACATGGGCCTAGTAAGGAATGAGCTTCAGCACGTGGACTTACGCACAGGTGAGCAAGCAAACCCAACCTATATAAACCCATCAATACACACCCAGGTTTCCCACAGATCCTTATTAAAGTCTTATAAAGTCTTAAAGGGGAATTCCAAATTTACCAAATTTGTGCATATTTCAATGTAAACCATAAAATGGCTATAGATATGCTGCCTTATGCCTGAGACAATGCTTTATAATACTTTAAAGATAAAATTTGAACCAGAAACCTTTTGGGTTTTTTTTTTTGTTTTGTTTTTTTAAACATCCATGTTGGAGAGGTATATGCAGGACGCTGTAAGCCAAATAGTCCCCAAAGGAAATGTATTTTTTTGGTTTTACCATCATCAACATTCCATATAAACTCAGAAGACTTGTGTGGGTTCTCTGGTGGTTTTGGATAGTAAACAAAATGTCTATATTTGTGTTGTAGTCATGGTGACCTCTGGTTCCTATCACCACCACTGTAAAGACATCTGAACCATTTCACACCAAACCACTCTGGATCACTCTGTTTACATCTTAACCATTGAATAATGCAGAACTTTTGAAATATTGATGGAATTCCCCTTTAGATTTAAAAATAAGGTCATAGCATGTTTGAAAATGTCTTATTTTTCACTAATAGATGTTCAGGGATATCTGATTTCAGCAAATTGTAACGGTTCAAGTTTGTTTTTTCACCGTGCCAGTTTGAATAAAGGAAACGTTAATACATACCGTATATTGATGTGTGCGTTAACTAGTGGAAACTGTATATTATTTTTGCCATATTGAGGTGTCAAAAATGGCTTTAAAAAGCATTTAATTTCATTGTAAACAGCCACCTTGACAAGACACCCTGCCATAATGCTGTCATTCCAGTCTCATGCTAATCCCAATCTCGCCCCAGCATGTGGACATTTAGATTAAGATTCATGAAGGTGATTGCACCAAGTCTGAGTCTGACAGGAGACGGACTGTTGGGCAGAATAGGAAAAATGGATTAAAGGCTGTTCAGGGAGATGGAGAGAGCAGAAGTTCGATGGAGAGGCTATGTGAGGACAAACCAAGGGAGAGAATGAGTGGAAAAAGTCAAATCAGAGGGAGATAAGACTGCAAGCACGATATTTGTGGTGCTCTGGAGGGTGATGGCCCACTCTGCTCACTATTTCTGCCTTTTTATAGCAGCATTAAGGAAATGGGACAAGAGAGACTGCAATTTGTGAATGATTTATTACAGCCTAACATTCATGGAGGATTTTCAGATTCATTGTGACTGTCTGATGCTGGAGCTCAGTCTGGATGTGACGTTTATAAAATGTGCTGTTCTGGATCTGTACTTTCAAACGCTTTCAGACACGATGCATGTGTGATTATCCTGGTTGTTGACAAGCAGTTCTGTGCATGTTAGGGATGAGTCAGTTTTCAAATAGTTGTGAAAGTCTAAAAATATTATTAGTAAATTATTTTTACTGTTTTTGATAAGCAAATTAGTTTCTCTGTAACGTTGTGTGTTCTCATATTCAAGAACCATGACTTCAGCTACGTCCTACGTCAGAGGGGCATGTAAATAGGGTGAGATAATCAGATATTGTAGATGATTGACAAGTAATCTGATGATGCTTAAAAGGCTCAGTGTGTTGGAAAAGAGATCTGACTAGAGTAGACTAATTTACCTTTAAACAGCTTACTACATAATAATACTAAATAATATGCACACAAACTGTTTTATTCACTTTTACTCTTGAAACATCGGCTCATTATGAGGCCTTAAAAAGCTGTTAGACTGCAGGAGATTAAATTCCCCACTGTGTTGCTGTGCGTTTCCCAGAGTGTGATTTACTGTCTGAGAAATTTCTGCTGTATAGCTTAACTGTCTTGGTGGTTCTGATGAGTTAAAATTATTAAAATTATGAAAATATAATACTGCATGGTTTTCCAAAGGTATCTATAGCTGATTGACTCCACTATAACAACAGAAAACACCTTGTTTTATTAATACAGAAATCAAGTCAAGTCAAATTTATTTATATATATATATATATATATATATATATATATATATATATATATATATATATATATATATATATAACTTTTACAACAGATGTTGTCACAAAGCAGCTTTACAGAGAATCCGGGTCCACGCCCCCAGTGAACAAGCCTTGGCGACAGTGGCAAGGAAAACTCCCTCAACAGGAGGAAGAAACCTTGAGAGGAACCAGACTCAAAAGGGGAACCCACCCTCCTCTGGTCGAATAGTCACTCATTCAGAGCGGGTGTTGCAGTCTGAGGGGCACTATTAGCACACAACACACCTTGAATCTACACCAGAAGGAGCTCATGAATACACATATTTGCAGCAACACCTATTAATTTTCATTGAAACAGTTAATAAAATACTCATTAATCTCAAGCTTGTTTTATAGATACCAACCACACTACACAACTGGTGTTGTGTGGTTGGTATAGTGGTATAGTGTAGTGGGTAACACCTCTGCCTTCTACGCTGTAAAATGATCAAACTGTAAGTCACTCTGGATAAGAGTGTCTGCCAAATGCCGTAAATGTAGTGTAAATCATATAGATTTAATGGAATACAACTGTCAAACATCATTTAGTGAATTTATCATGTTTGGTATCAGATAACTCTTCACAAACTCACTGTTTCTGGGCTAACATGTATGAGGTGAAATACGTTGAAATGTGTAATGTAACTAAGGTACTAAGGCCAACTAATAGTAGACAATAAGCATTTGTATTTTTGTCTCACTGGTGGTTCAGAATAGTTCAGTAGCCACGTTTACATGGAGCCTAATAATCTAGTCACATTGAAGCTATTCGGAATTCAATTTCTATCCGATTGAACGAGGTGGGTAATCCTGTAAATAATCCGTTAAATAGAAGAATAATATCCGTGTAAACGCCTGTATCTGATTACATTCCCTATCAGAAAGTTTAAGTCCGTTCTGATCATGTTCGTCACGTCATAGTGAAAGTTTATACCGTTCAACATGGCGGAGCAGAAACTGGTCTGCAGAGGAGACGAAGTTTATGCTCTGATCTTTAAAAGACGGCGGTGGGACGGACGTCCAGCTTATGTGTCTCAGAACACGACGTCTTCCTCTCGGCCTTCTTTAATAAGGACATGTGAAGGACGTTTTCCTGAGTCTGACATCATTTTAAAGCAATTAAAAACACAAGCGCTGCTCACTGCTGCTCATCTCACTCTGACTGGACCTCGCGTCATGTTCGCTGTCATGGCAACGTCTACTCCAAGTTATATTCTATGTATGCATATAATTTTGGATCTGATTACTTGTAGTGAGCATGTAAACGAAGATTTTCATCAGATTGTTGAGTAGAGTGAGAATATAAACACCTCAGTCTTAATCTGTATTCAGAATGTATTCAATCGGTTTGGCAAAAATCTCCGCATGTAAACACAGCCAATGATTGTTTGTTGTGACCCCTGGTTCCTGTCACCACCACTGTAAAGAGTCGGCAGGTTTTCGTTTCGACACCAAAAAATTCTGAATGACTGTTTACATATCAACTATAGTTTAGAGTTTTTTGAAAGTATGGACCTTGTTCTTTCAGAAGAATAAATACAAGAAACTAAATAACCTAATATACATTGACGAGCCAAAACATTATGACTGTGAGTAACGTTGATTATCTTCTAACATCAGTGCAGGTGACGGTCTGGGGTCTATTGGATGGTAAGTGAACAGTCAGTTTTCATACTTAACATGTTGGATGTGGGGAAAAAATAGTCAGGCGTGAAGACGTGAGGGACTTTGCCCAAATCGTTATGACCACATGGGTTGGAGCATCTCTGAAACAGCAAGGCTTATGGAGTGCCCCTGGTCAGCAGTGGCGAGTACCTACTGACGGTGGACTGAGGAGGGACAAACTATGAACCAGCGAACCAAGGTTCTTCGATGCGCGAGGGTGATGAAGGCTATCCCATGTGGTCTGAACAAAAATGTTTAATGATGATTATGGGGGGGAACGTGTCTCAACACACGGCGTGCTGCTCAGAGTGCCCATGCTGACCCCGTCCACCATCGAAAAAGTTAAAAATGGGCACGAGAGCTTCGGAACTGGACCTTGCAAGAAGGTCACCTGGTCCGATAGATCCTGTTTTCTTTAACATCATGTAGACGGCTGAGTACATGTGCAGTGTTTACTTGGAGAAGTGGTGCATCAGGATGCACTGTGGAAAGCTGGTGGAGGGAGCGTGATGCTGTGGGTGATGTTCTGCTGGGAAACTGTGTCCAGGCATTTATGTGCATGTCAGTTTGACACGTGCCACCTAGCTAAACATCGCAGACCAGGTGTACCCCTTAATGGCAATGGCTTTCCCAAATTGCAGTGGCCTCTTTCAGCAGGATAATGCACCCTGCCACACTGCACACGGTTTGGCAACGGCTTGAGGAACATGATGAAGAGTTCAAGTTGTTGCCCTGGCCTCCAGATTCCCCAGATCTCAGGCCATCTGTGGGACGTGCTGCAACAGGAAGTCCAATCCGCAGTGGTTCCATCTCGTAGCTTGTAGGATTTAAAGGATCTGCTGCTGATGTTTTGGTGCCAGATATCACAGAACACCTTTAGAGGTCTTGTAGAGTCCATGCCTCGGCCAGTTGGAGCTGTTTTGGCAGCGTACAGAGGACAAGCAGCATGTTTGGCAGATGGTCATAATGTTTTGGCTCATTGCTGTAATGCATACTAAACCTTTCAAGCAGTTCCATGACAGCAGTGGTTCTAAATTCCCAACTGTGTTTCAGCATCTAAGTCTCATCAGGATCATTTGACTGGGGACACTGGATCTGTCTGTCTGTCTGTCTGTCTCAGTTTGTGTGTCTGTGTGATCAATCCTCTGTCTGTGTGAGACTGTGACGCTAGCATGGCCCTCTTCATCAGCGCTGCTTTGTTGTTGTTTACTGTATACGGCTGCCCCATCTCCATATTATCTCCCTGTCTTCATTATAACAGGGCCTTAATGAGCAGCAGCACTACACGCCCTGCATCTCAAGAGCCTCAGCTGAGCACACACTCACATACAAGACACGCAGAGTAATAAACAAACACTTTAGTGGCCAAAAAATGAAATTAAGGAGATGCTAGGAAGGCAGTAAAACCGTTAAGGAGAGGCTGGGAAGATGTGGTTTAAGTATGGCATCTGTAAAGCTACAATGATTCTGTTAGCTGATTTTATACGCCTCCTGTTAGATTTCGGCAATATGACAATATTTTATCGTCATTGTGATTGATTTTGTTATTGTGGTGAATTATACACCTTTCTGAGCATCTTGTATATCATCAGTACTTAAGGAACACTGACCAACCAAATGTTTCATTACAAAGAGGGCATAATTAGTCCTGTTTATTTGGATTTAATGCAGTGTGTGAGATGTTGAATAAAAATAATTTAACATTTTTTAACGTGGCACCGCAAATGCATTTTATCTGTGAAAACATTGTGATACGCATCGTATAAATGTCTGTAATTATTATAAGACAATATTTTCTCTATATTGCCCACCCCTGCCTCCTATTTTACAACTTTTATAAGTTTATCATGAAAGAAAACAAACAAAAACCTTTAAATGCCCACCAAATGTGGCCTGTGCAAAAGTTATATTTTATATTTTCTCTGCAGAAGTCAGTTATTCTGACTTAGAAACTCAGCAAAACGTGTCATTTGATCAGGGCTGTCTTAGGCTTTGTTCACACATCTGACATTTTTAAAGCTAATTTGAGACACTGTCGAATGTGGTACTGAAATCCGATACGTATCCAATATGCAGCAGTGCGGCTCAGTCTGAACAGCCAGATCGGAATTCCTGAGACTTTTACATCAAACCAACTCGGCATTCATCATAATGCTGCACTGCTGAGACTCATAAAAATCTAGGCTGATGTTTCTGCACAAACAATTAGAAGAGACTCATCCAAAACCCTCCGAGTTCAAAGAGATTTAGAAAGAAATGTCCGAACGCGGCCGCAGGAGAACGAGGCTGCGGCGTCAAAGAACAGTTAAAAGTCTGAAAGCGAAGTTTATAGAATCCGAGGACGCAAACCAAAGAAGTGACCGCGCCCTTTTTACGGCTCGAACACATTCTGGGTGATGAGCCCAGCTGTCAGTCAGTGAAGCTTCATGATGGCTCCTGTGACGCTGGTGAAGATGAAGCTGATCCTCCGGGAGCGACTGGCGTTCGTTGGCGGTCGTGATTGTTGACCTCTGGATGGGCCGTGAAGCAGCGTGACGCTCTGTTCTTTTACACATGCGGGTCAGTTTAGGAGCTGATCTGTTCAGACTGATGTTGCATACAGATCACATTTAAAAGATGATCTGAACAGCCAAACAAAAAAATCGGAATGGTGAGAATCAGATTTGGGCCACTTTTACCTGCTGTGTAAACGTAGTGTGTGTAGCAGCTGCTCATTTTGATTCAGTGATTGTGTTGATGTTCTGAGAGGGACTCGTCAGAGTCGGAGGGCTTGCGCTGGTGTGAGCATCACCCTCTCGCTATCACGCTGTGAATTTAATGTAGCCCTCGTGGGAATGTTTCTGTGTAAGCGAGCACCTAAGGGAAACCTCCTTTTCCCCACAGATGGCCATCACACCTGTTGGTCAGGCTCTTCTGCTTTGACAGGAATATGTGTTCGGGGAAAAGGGAGCAGTTTCTCTGCCACGTCAGTACTCTAATGACCCCCTCACCTCCATCTGTGCTTTAAAGGACACACTTAGACAGCCCCACAGTTCTCTGCTGCAATGTCGTTTTGCTGTTTGCAGTGCAATATTTACAGTCTTGCGGTTTGAAAGCAGAGCCATGGGGGAAAATGTGTTGCAGTGTGAAATCAACATTGAACGACTGTTGAAAGTGTTGAATTCTCAGTGTGTGTTTTTCTAGCGTTTCGTTCATGCTTAAAAATGCTTTGATAAGTGGTCAGTAGTGCTGTTTATGACAGTTCAGCTAAACATTAGGTCAGTATTTATTAGTGTGCCCAGTAGAAAAGCCTTGTAAGTATGAGATGTAGTATTAGAGTTAGAAAATATATCTGAGTGGGCATTCAGGATGATTCTAGCAAGCTTCCCAGAAGAGTGGAGGCTGTTACAGCTGCAAAAGGGGAGAACTCCGTATTAATACTCATGGTTTTGGAATGGGACGTCCATCAAACTTATATAGATGTGATGTGGTACTTCTCGGCCAAATAGTGTAAGTCAAAAGTGTACATATATCAGGTTTGTTTTGCAAAACTCTTCAAAAAAAAAATGTTGACTGCCTTCCAGATGTTTTAAATCAGATTTATGTCTCTTATGTTATGTAAATAAATCCTGCTGCTGTGCTAGATGTCAGCAAACCTGACAGGTCTTTGAGAGATGATGCTGCTGCCTCCACATTATTTATTTTTATACCCTTGATGATTTTAAACTGGGTGTACTTATAGCTAGTTTGATTAAATTCAGATATCAGTAGCAGCACCTTAAATAATACTGTACAGATTCTGGCACTTGGAGATTTTCACTGCTGAATGTAAATGTGGCTGAATTGCTGATGCAGCCCTGTTCAGCTTTAGTGGCAGTTATTTAGATCCAGTAATATATCGCTGCTGTTGGAACAAAACCTCGTATCTCCAAAACGGTAGCTTTACAGGAGAAGCAAAAAAACCTGCTTTACCTTTAATGCAGGTCAGTGTAACCAGACTTTTTTCCAAGTCATTTTGGGCTGTTTCCTTTGGTCTATTCACAATATAAAGGGCAACAGGCATTTCTAAATTATATCAAGAACTGAAAAATGACAAAAATGGAGATGGAGATTTTTTCTGACAGCAGCAATATGCATATTTCATGCCTTTACACTTGGTGTCACTCACCAGCCATTAAACTGTAGCTAAATTAATGAGAATGATGAGTATCAATAACTGAGCATAGTATTTGGTCCAAGATTAAAATCTATAACTGCAGTATAGGAACTGTATTATCTTTCCTATAAGCGATATCAGATGTTCTTGATTTAGTGTAGTGTTAGCTCTGGTATTAGGATAGAAGTTATCAGTTGCTCTTGTATTTGTAATATAATGTATAGAATTATGGAATATTAAAGGACCATATCATGGAAAATCTCCTTTTTAAAGGTTTTATGCAGTATGTAAGCATTGTTAAAGTTCCAGAACATACAGTTCACTTCCCAGTCCATACAGTCTATATATGGAAACTCAGCTGCAAAAACAGACTGTTGTTAGTTTGTTTTTGTGATGTCAACATATTGGATATATCCACCTTTTCAGCCTAGCAGTTTGGCCCCGCCCACTCATGCTGAAGTTATGAGGATTGTTTTGTTCCAAGTTGTTTTTGAAGGAAGCGCAATATAGGGCAGCCAATCAGATCAGAGGTCATTTACATATGTTTGTCTTAAAGACACAGTAACCAACACAGCCTGTTTAAGTTGGAAAATGCTGATCTAGAAATGAATTATAACTGTTTTGGGTGCATAAAACCAAACAAATGCTATAAATGGACCATCAGGGGAAAATATGTAAAGAAAAAAATGTAAGAAAAATGTAAAATATGGGTCCTTTAAGATTTGGCTGAACGATTATTGTACAGCTGTAAGTTGATAAACCTTGATGGCAACATCCTTTAGTACTGAAAAGCTAGTCACAATCCTTAGTGAGACTAGACATTTGGAGACCTACTAACTCTGTGATAATTATATTATTATATTATTATATCGCTGCTGTTGGAACAAAACATTGCGTCTCCAAAATGGTGACTTTACAGTAGAAGGAAAAACATCTACTTTACTCTTAATGCATTTCAATGGAACCAGAATTTTTTCCAAGTGATTTTGGGCCTTTTCAAATTGTCAAAAACTGAAAATGACAGACATGGAGATTTTTTTTTTTTTTGACAGCAGCAATGTATGTATGTTAATGCCCATGGTTTTGGAACGGGATGTCCATCAAGCTCATATAGGTGTGATGGTGAGGTGTCCACATACTTTTGGCCATAAGGTGTAGCTCGAGTTTTCGAATCAGGATTTTCACCCATTGATAGTTTGTTGTGGTTTTCCATCAGATAATCTGGCATCTGGATTTTCAGTACCTCAAGATCTAATTATTTGCTATTGTTTCTTTCTCTCTTTTTATCTCTATATCTCTCTCTCTCTGTCTCACAGGAAGGTGCTTTGCATTTCGAGGCGAGCGAGGGAATGATGAACCAGCCATTGAGATGATTAAAGTGTCTCATCTAAAGTGAGCAAGATGCACAAACACAGTTTCTTGTTTCGATCCCTCCGTAGACGATCACAGACTTTGGTCCCAAAGGCTTCCTCGGACTCGTGTTGTGATTATTGTCTCACATACACATTTTAATATACACTCACAGAACTTCCTAGTTCCTCATTTCTCGCCCCCAGCTCAGCACTCTAAAGAGACACTCTTGACAGAGCCAGTGAAGTATTTCACATCAAGTAAAATTATCTTAAATCTAGTCTATTTCTCATTTTGAGATTGCTGTAAACCGATTATGAAGTTGTTTAAATCATCTGATTATTTATTATAACAAGCAGAATTATCCGCCAGTATAGTTAGCTAATTTGACTGACTAAAATAAATTAATACAAGCAATAAATGTCTATAAATAAGTTAAACAACCTTATAATAGACTTACAGAAGTCTCCAAATGAGAAATATTAGACATACAGACTAGATTTAAGACAATTTCACTTGACAATATACAACCCCATTTCCAAAAAAAAGTTGGGACGCTGTGCAAAATGTAAATAAAAACAAAATGCAATGATGTGCAAATCATTTAAACCCTATATTTCATTGAAAATAGTACAAAGACAACATATCAAATGAATAATTGAAACTTAGAAATTTTATTGTTTTTTGAAAAATATATGCCCATTTTGAATTTGATGCCAACAACACTTTGGCAACAGGTCAGTAACGTCACTGGGTATAAAAGAGCATCTCAGAGAGGCGGAGTCTTTCAGAAGTAAAGATGAGGAGTTCACCACTCTGTGAAAGACTGCACAATCAAATAGTGAAACAATTCAAGAATAACGTTTCTTAACATAAAATAGCAAAGAACCTTTGCTTTTCACCATCTACGTGACATAGATACATAATATCATTAAAAGATTCAGAGGGACCAGCCAAAAACCAGCATTTGCTGGCCATGATCTTTGGTCCCTCAGGCGGCACTGCATTAAAAACAGACATGATTCTGTAGTGGAAATCACTGCATGGGCTCAGAAACACTTCAGAAAACCACTGTCTGTGAAAACAGTTCATCAATGAGGAGCTGAAATCGTTTATCAAACAAGAACAGGAAAACATTGCACTTTCAAAACTACAGCAGTGTCTCCTCAGTTCTCAAACGCTTACAGAGTGTTGTTAATAGAAGAGGTGATGAAACACAGTGGTAAACAGGCCCCCGTCCCAACTTTTTTGGAACATGTTGTTGGCATCAAATTCAACATGGGCATATATTTTTCAGAAAACAATAAAATTTCCCAGTTTCAACATTTGATATGTTGTCTTTGTAGAATTTCCTTTAAAAATATGGTTTGCATGATTTGCACATCATTGCATCCTATTTTTATTTACATTCTGCACAGCATCCCAACTTTTTTGGAAATGGGGTGGTATTATTTCTTGTAGATAGGGGTCCAGGCAAGCCTATGACAAGGTATAAACTGTCTTTCTCTTTGTGTTTGTTTATCGCATTCCACTTTATCACCCACTCTTTAAAAAGATGGTTCTTCAAGGGTTCTTTAGTAAAGAAAATGGACCATGAACCATGAACACTCAAAGGACCCTTTGCATAATTAAAGCGTTCTTTGCATCTTGAAAGGGTTCTTCAGATTAATGGAGAGTGTACTGTACTTTTTGAAAAGGGTTCTATATAGCACTAAAAAGGGTTCTTCTATTGTTACAAGCTTGACATTTTAACAATAGAAGAGCCCATTTGAGTTCTATATAGAAGCCTTTATAGAAAGGTTCTATATAAAATCGTCTACAGCACATTCTGAAGAACGCGTTCACGATGCAAAGAACCTTTAATCACAAAAAGGATTCTTTGAGTGTTCATGGTTCTATATTGAACCATTTTTTTTTACTAAAGAACCCTTGAAGAACTTTTTTTTTAAAGTGTTGAAGGCTTCAGAGCACAGTGAATTGTGCTTTTACTGTACTTAAAGGGCCCATATTCTACATTGTGTATTCTTGTATATTGTTTTTCATCTCTGTGTACCAAATAACAGTCATAATTAATCTTAACACAACCATTTCCAAGCTCTCTTAGTCCTTTAGAATGAAACAGGCTGTTTCTGTTGCTGTACCTTTAAGGTTGATGTATGTAAATGCAATTTTTTCTGATTGGCTATGCTGTATTGTGCCTCATTCAGAAAGCAGTCTGGGCTGAAACACTTCTTATAACTTCAGCTTGAATGGGTAGAGCTGAACTGCTGCAGAATGGGCAGATTTGTATATGCAAATGTGATGTTTGCGTGACTTCACAAACATGGTGAATTCAAAACGGGTTGACATATATATATATATATATATACATTACATATATGTATAGTCTAAGGAGTAAATGGTAATACTACATCAACAGTAATACTACATCAAACTCTTATGGAAAACAAAGTGAAAAATTCAGTTTTTGATGATATGAGCCTTTAAAGTGTTGTTTAGGAAGGGTTGTGCCTTGTGAGTTTGTGACTCAAGTGCTGTTGAAATTGAATATTTGTACTTTTACTCTAAAGTCGGCTTCTGTTCTCTCCTTTGTGGAGAATCATCTTCCAGACTTATCATTTAAATGGTAATCAGAAATCCCCGATCAGTCACTAATCATTGCATATTCTTCGAGAAGGTACATTTAAATCAGTGATTTTTATAAAAATCGAGTAATTAGGTTAATGATGTTATTATGGCAGCTCTACACCAGAGTTACTTCTGCTGGAGGCCAAAACGCCTCAGTAAAACTCTTCCTCTTACACAAAATGATTATCAGTTGTTCTTGGTTCTGAGATTTGATTGGTGTTGATCCTCTGGGGTTATGATGATGTGACAGTCTGTGTTTATGTCGGCATCTGTAGGCAGTATCTGGTGGTGGTGTTCAGAGACAAACCTCTGGAGCTGTGGGATGTCCGCACAGGGACCCTGCTGCGTGAGATGGCCAAGAACTTCCCCACCGTTACTGCACTGGTAAAGACGTATGTGTGTTGTTGTGCGTGTGTGTGTGGCTGTGTTTGGGTGGGTGTGTGTGTATATGTGTGTGTGGGTGGGGGTGTGTGGGTGGATGTGTTTGGGTGTGTGTGTGTATATGTGGGTGGGGGTGTGTGGGTGTGGGTAGAGGTGGGTGGGTGGATGTGGTTGGTTGTGTGGGTGCACTTATTTTCATACGTTTTAAGTTCATTCTGACAAAATCTCCTCAAAACATGTCCACAAATATTTGAGTGTTATAATCGTCTAACAGATAAACTATATTCATATAATTTGGTAGATCAGTTGGAGCTCTTTATGGTCCATCAAAATATTTGAGCAGTTCATTTTTCAATTTTGAAGTTGATTTAACCCTAAGTCTTGTTACTGCAACATGTCCACATGTCTCATCACTAATATTTATATATATATATATATATATATATATATATATATATATATATATATATATATATATATATATATATATTATTTTGAAAAATGAGTTTGTATTTTTTTACTTTAATGAACCAAAACATCAAAATTTCTGTGGAACAATAAGTAAAAAGAAAAAGCTCAGTGGTTGCATTAATGAGATAAAAGTGCAAAATGCTTTAAATACTTTACTATGTGTGTGTGTATATATATATATATATATATATATATATATATATATACGTAGTATATATATTTGTATATATCACCGCTGTGAGAAGAAAACCTTGTATCTCCATTTTTGTTGTTTTTCTGTTATAATTTGAAAATACCTGTTGTTCTTTACATTGTTTGTAAATTTCATGAAGAATGGACCAAAAGAAACAGTCAAAAATGACTTGGAAAAAAGTCTGGTTCCATTGACTTACATTAAAAGTCCGTTCTTCTCAGAATGTGTCCAAATAAGAGCTTCAGTTTGGTTCTCTGGGCTCTGAGTGAGAGGAGAGGCTCGATTTGGTTGAGGATCCATTCGTTTTCTTTGCCGTCCAAGATTCTCTCGAACGTCTTCACCGTCACCAAAGTTCAAAGGCATCTATATTTTTCCTGTCAGGCTTATTTATTGTCCAGCTTTCACCTCCTTTAAGAACCACGGAGAAAATCACAGCCTGGACAGGTCTGATCGTTGTGTATAGAGACACATCATTGCATTTAAAGATCTTTTCAGGCTCCTTCATCCTGGTTCTGCTGAGCGTGTCATATTTCTCGAGTGCTGGATCTTCTGTTAACTAGGTTAATGTTTGATCTGAGTTGGCAAAAGCTGCCCTCCATCTCCACATCTTCTCCATCAGTGGTAAAGTTAGCAGTCTTTCTGTCACCATAACCTCAGTCTTCGTTATGCTTTGAGTTGAAGTCCCATCTTTTCACTCCTTCCTTGTTAGGGCCTTCAGGTCTTGCAGATTATCCGCTATGAGTAATTAAGTCAGGAGAGTTTGTGATGGATTTGAGTGAATCCCAGCTCTGGCTGGAGGCATGCAGGAGAAATCTGGAACCAAACCTGTGTTGTTCTGACCACTGCTTTGAAAACAAGAAATTATTGCTTCTTTTTACTGAAGTAATGCTTGTTTTTATTGATTTTAATGTTGTATTGTTTTTGTATATATACTTATGCTGCAAAAATGATAGTAAAAACATCTTAAATGCAGTCAAAACAGCTAATATTTCTCATTATGAGATTGTTTAAAGAATATTATGATTGTTTAACCTCTTTTTACACATTTTTACTCGCTTTTAAGTAATTTTATGTAGTGAAAGCATCTTATTTCGTTGACAGATCAGTTACTTGTTTTGAGAAATACTTAGGCTAATTTTGCTCATTTAAAAAAAAAATATTGCTTTAAACGTGAAATGATCACCGTTGGACAACTGTGCGACCTTCCGGTCACAAGGCTGGTTCCCTAACCTCCAGCCCACGACTGCCCACATAAAACAAATAAAAAATAGCTAGAAATGAGTTAAACAACCTAACAATATTTTTTTACAGGGATTAGAAATTTGAGATATATTTATTAGATTTAAATATGATGTTACACTTGATGTGAGATCATTTTTTGCAGTGTAAGACTTTCACAAAGTACTATAAGCAGTACATATGGGACGGTGCGCCCTGTGCGTGCCTGTCTGCCTGTAGTCATGCACAATTCTTATTATCACCTCTCAGGTTGAGAAATTAGTCTGGAAACTTCGCCTCACTCAGCAAACAGCCCGACTTCGTTATCCGGCAGGGAAACTCATAAAGAGGAGAGAGCTGTTGTCCAGCTCGTACTGCAGGGCCAGTAAACATTGTAACGACGCTACTGAAGGCAGCTAACAAATAAGCCCCACAATAATGTTAATAATACATGCCTTTTCTCAGCTCCCTCTGCCAGCTCATTTCCATATTGATTGCACCCTCTGGGTAAATATCCATAGCACCAGCTTCTAATGATCAGGGCCTGAATTATAACCCCCCACCTCACACACACACACCGCTTACTTGTTTGTATTTGTGGATATGTGTGTGTCTGTGTGCATTGCAGCACTTAGCTATTGCTGGACTACAGCTTGAGTGTTCTGGATAGCAGTGTTAGGAAAAGTCTAGTACATTCTGGAGCACGGCTATTCCAGACAAAGACCCTCGACTTGACCTTTAAAGCAACATTAAAGATGAACAAATAGACTTCTTATCAGGCTGGGTGGTGGATCATCGGTACTGTAGCACATAATGTATAAGAAGGTATGATGATGAAGTTAAGTTGTGCTGTCCGCTAGGCCGGTCACAATTACTGCATAGTCACGTGATCACAGTTATTAGAGCCGGAAGTCTGGCCTGGAGAACCAGAGTATTTATTTTTTGGTAGAATATAAAAAAAATTGTTTGATGTTTGTTAATGACGCCTTTAGAGGGCAGTGGTGAGCGACATTTGATGTTCATTAATGATGCCTTTAGAGGGCAGCGGTGAGCGACGTTTGTTTATTTGATGTTTGTTAATGACGTCTTTAGAGGGCGGCGCTGAGCGACGTTTGTTTATTTGATGATTGTTAATGACGCCTTTAGAGGGCGGCGCTGAGCGACGTTTGTTTATTTGATGTTTGTTAATGACACCTTTAGAGGGCGGCGCTGAGCGACATTTATTTGATGTTTGTTAATGACGCCTTTAGAGGGCGGCGCTGAGCGACATTTATTTGATGTTTGTTAATGACACCTTTAGAGGGCAGCGCTGAGCGACGTTGAGCGAGTCTCATGTTAAGCCACCCACATCCCTGTCAGTTTAGCATTACGTGCAATAAAAGTGACATTTAATGTAATTGAAAAACAGGCCTATTTGCAGTTTAGACACTAACCCGTACCACGAAGCACTGCACCCTGTACCGAGAGCTGTGAAGATGCTCAGACTGATATTACACTTAAACACAGTGTTCCTTCAGATCCTTAGACACTTTTAAAAAGTCTTCAAATAGATACTGAAAAATGAAGGCCGTAAAATGTCTGAATTTGTCCGACCTCACAGTTACAGATATTAAAATTAGAGATGTCAGATGTTATTTAGCCCAGTGCTAATTATATATCACTATCACTAAAAATATGGCTAAAACTGGAAAGCAAGATCACAATATGTCAGTATAGTAATATACCAGTCTAGATGTTGTTTCTTCTAGCTTTGTCATTTGCAGTCAAAAATCAAGTGTGTAACCAGTACAAACAGAGTTGATCACCGTAATGCTCATTTATACTGGAGAAAACAGTCCGTCCTCTACAGCTCATACAGAACGCAGCAGCACAGATCCTCACAGCACCAACACAGAGAGCTCATATCACCCTGTTTACACTCTGCACTGACCGCCTGGATCTTTTAGAGAGATTTTAAAGCTCTGCTGCTGGTTTTAAGGCCCTAAGTGACTTTAAAGCACCGCTTACATCACAAAATGTCTGTCTGTTTATGTTCCAGCTCGTGATCTTAGATCTGCAGGTTCTGACCTTCTACAAACACCTTCTGTAAATTACAGAAAACGTGGAGAGACTCTCAGTTATTCTGCTTCTAAACTGTGGAGCTCAGTTCAGCTTTTATTAGTCAAGTTCAGAGCTCACTTTTAATAAACATCTAAAAAAGCAGCTCTTTAACTCGGTGTTTAATTGAAATTCTGCTTTTTTGCTCTCTTTGGTTATTAAACATTTAAATGTGCTCTTTGTCATTATAAAGCTCTTTGAGCTGCCATCAGTATGCTCTATAAATAAAGATATTATTATTATTATTATTATTATTATTATTATTATTATTGTTGTTAAAAGGCCTGATGCCATACTAAACAACGGGAATGTTGGGGTCATTTGATTTACAAATGTCTTGGCAAATAGATAACGAGCTAACAGGCTTCTCCAGTAATAATCAGCATTATGCTTGAAATATTTACTGAAATAACTTCACAGAAACAAAACAGAAAACAGTCCAATCAAAACAATCTCTGTCAGGTTTGTAAGACATTCTTGTAGCTGCACTCAGGAGTTGTGACTTTATTAACTTTATTAATGCTCTTATTAACCTTATTCATGCTAATCTACGAACCATCTGATTCTCTGATACCATGATATCGGTGTTTGTTGGAGGAAAACCTCGTATCCCCATTTTTGATGTTTTTCAGGTTTTTAAATGATAATTTGAAAATACCTTTTACCCTTTACAATGTATGTAAATTTCATGATGAATAGACTAAAAGAAACGGCCCAGAATGACTTGGAAAAATGTCTGGTTCCATTGACTTCCATTAAAAGTAAAGTATGTTTTTGCTTCTCCTTCTTACAACTTAAAATACTTCTGACAACAGCGATATATTCATGATGTATTTTATCAGAATTGCCCACTAACATGCCTCTATTGATTGATAGGATCCAGAATTGTTTCCCTTCTCCAAACCGCCAGCCTGTTTAATGGTGGGAGAGCCCGTCGTAATTAAACGATGTCCTTGTTAAATGAAGGTTTGAAGTAAAAGACACCTCTCACTGTTTTATTACACCAAATTAAAGACAGTCCAGATCTACTTCAGGGTGTAAATCCAATTTAATTGTAGCCTGTATAATAGATTAACACATTGCAGAAGCTGTAGGACACATGGAAGAGCAATCTCAGGAAATGATTGTGATGAAATTAGGATTTATATTGAGACGATGTTCTAATAGAGTTTGAAATGCACTGAGTTGCAGTTAATTGTACAGAGTTTGCTGAGACAGTGGTGCTGTTTAAGCTAAGAATAACTAACTTTCTTCGTAGGTGCTTTAGAGGTGCTTTCGGTCCAATCCACCTCATCACAGCGTGTCCAATTACATCCCACTCAAACTTTTCCATCAGCTGCAAAATCGATAATCCGAGACTCTATTTTCTAGAAGTCATGAAGAGAAGTTATAAACTGGACAAGAACTTTTAGGATTTTTCACTTTTGGACATCTTAAGTGGTCTCAGACTGCGAAGTCATGGTTTTCTGTGCGAATGTGAACATATCAGACAAACTCAGACCCACATATGAACCAGACTGGAGTAAGAGGTGTGGTTTATGTGAGGTTCTCTTCTTCAGAACGGGGGTCTTTATCCATCAAATTACAGTGATTAGATGATTGGACATATTATTGCCTGAGTTTCCACAGCTTCCTGCGCTGCACAGCTCACGTTCACAGTCAGAGTCACGCAGTCGGCTCACGCACACACTAATGACATGCAGAGACAAGCCGGATGATCTAGATACAGAGGCTTTTAAATGCATTTGTATCATTATCCCAGAGACATGAGTAACGCAAATAGCACAGTTCTTTTGAAGACAGTTACTTTAATGTGAGCGCAAAAACGTGAAGTGTAGTGACAGAAAAAGTAATCACTTTACTATAGTGTTTTATTTTAGGCCACGTTTTCCCCAACATGGTCCATGCAGTGAGTTAAATCAATGATTTAAAATGTGCTTAAAATGGTTGTGTTAGTTGAGTTAAATGTTTTAGTGTTAGTTGAGTTAAATGTTTTAGTGTTAGTTGAGTTAAATGTTTGTGTTAGTTGAGTTAAATGTTTTAGTGTTAGTTGAGTTAAATGTTTGTGTTGAGTTAAATGTTTGTGTTAGTTGAGTTAAATGTTTTAGTGTTAGTTAAATGTTTTGTGTTAGTTGAGTTAAATGTTTTGGTGTTAGTTGAGTTAAATGTTTTGGTGTTAGTTGAGTTAAATGTTTGTGTTAGTTGAGTTAAATGTTTTAGTGTTAGTTGAGTTAAATGTTTTAGTGTTAGTTGAGTTAAATGTTTGTGTTAGTTGAGTTAAATGTTTTAGTGTTAGTTGAGTTAAATGTTTGTGTTAGTTGAGTTAAATGTTTTAGTGTTAGTTGAGTTAAATGTTTGTGTTGAGTTAAATGTTTGTGTTAGTTGAGTTAAATGTTTTAGTGTTAGTTAAATGTTTTGTGTTAGTTGAGTTAAATGTTTTGGTGTTAGTTGAGTTAAATGTTTTGGTGTTAGTTGAGTTAAATGTTTGTGTTAGTTGAGTTAAATGTTTTAGTGTTAGTTAAGTGTTTTAGTAAGTGTTGAGTTAAATGTTTTAGAAAGTGTTAGTTAAATGTTTTAATGAATATTAGTTGAGTTGAGTGTGTTAACTGTGTGTTTTTTAGGAGGTGTTAGTTAAGTGTTTGTGTTAGTTAAATGGTTTAGTAAGTGTTAAGTGTTTTCTAAGTGTCAGTTAAGTGTTTTAGTAAGAGTTTGTTAAATGTTTGTGTTAGTTGAGTTGTGCTTTAGTAAGTGTTGAGTTAAATGTTTGTGTTAGTTGAGTTGTGCTTTAGTAAGTGTAGAGTTAAATGTTTTAGTATTTGTTAGTTAAGTGTTTTAGTAAGTGTTAGTTGAGTTAAATGTTTTAGTAAGTGTTAATTGAGTTAAATATTTTAGTATTTGTTAAGTGTTTTAGTAAGTGTTAGTTGAGTTAAATGTTTTAGTAAGTGTTAATTGAGTTAAATGTTTTAGTGTGTTCATTGAGTTAAATGTTTCAGTAAGTGTTAATTGAGTTAAATGTTTTAGTATTTGTTAAGTGTTTTAGTAAGTGTTAACTGAGTTAAATGTTTCAGTAAGTGTTAATTGAGTTAAATGTTTTAGTAAGTGTTAATTGAGTTAAATGTTTTAGTAAGTGTTAATTGAGTTAAGTGTTTTAGTAAGTGTTAATTGAGTTAAATGTTTTAGTAAGTGTTAATTGAGTTACATGTTTCAGTAAGTGTTAATTGAGTTAAATGTTTCAGTAAGTGTTAATTGAGTTAAATGTTTTAGTATTTGTTGAGTGTTTTAGTAAGTGTTAATTGAGTTAAATGTTTCAGTAAGTGTTAATTGAGTTAAATGTTTTAGTAAGTGTTAATTGAGTTAAATGTTTTAGTAAGTGTTTTAGTAAGTGTTAATTGAGTTAAATGTTTCAGTAAGTGTTGAGTTAAATGTTTTAGTAAGTGTTAATTAAGTTAAATGTTTCAGTAAGTGTTAATGTTTTAGTAAGTGTTAACTGAGTTAAATGTTTCAGTAAGTGTTGAGTTAAATGTTTTAGTAAGTGTTAATTAAGTTAAATGTTTCAGTAAGTGTTAATGTTTTAGTAAGTGTTAATTGAGTTAAATGTTTCAGTAAGTGTTAATTGAGTTAAATGTTTTAGTAAGTGTTAATTGAGTTAAATGTTTTAGTATTTGTTAGTTAAGTGTTTTAGTAAGTGTTAATTGAGTTAAATGTTTTAGTAAGTGTTAGTTGAGTTAAATGTTTTAGTAAGTGTCAATTGAGTCAAATGTTGTGTTTTAGTAAGAGTTAGTTAAATTAAATGTTTTTGTGTTAGTTGAGTTACATGTTTGTGTTTATTGAGTTACATGTTTTAGTGTTAGTTGAGTTAAATATTTTAGTAAGTGTTAGTTGAGTTAAATTCCAGGTTATTGGCCAAACCAGCGAAGTAAATAAGAAAAGCATATGCAGCGGATTCTACCTTGTTATTTACGGTTGTATTTAAAGTTTGGGAGCTCCTGGCCAAATGACAATTTGTCGATTTCTTTTAAGTAACAATAAGTAAACACATCCTCTACTGAGAACACACTTCTGAATATTTTAATTCCTAAGTGCTGTTTATGTGCTGAATGTAACATATTGGGGGCAAAATGTGGCACCTCTTATATTTTATGTTTTTTTTCCCAATATGTTAAACTCAGAAAATGAATTGTGCACAAAACTTGCATATTTAAGTGTATTTTCACTTAGAAAATCAACAAACCCATGTTCTGCTAACATTTTAATATGGCTGTCTTTATTTTCAGATGGCGTTACTGCCTGTACATTTGACAGTGTACAGTACTGTAAGCAATGCCTTTCTCTATTATGTATGTGTACAGGAATGGTCTCCCTCTCACAACCTGAAGAGTCTGAAGAAGAAGCAAATGGCAGCTCGAGAGGCCATGGCCAGACAGACCACGCTGTCGGATGCCGAGCAGAGCAGCGTGGAGTCCTCCGTCATCAGGTCAGACCACAGGTCATCCACAAAGGTCATCCCCAGGTCATCCTGAGGATCACTGGCTGTCCCTTCCTGCAGAATGTGTTGGGATGTCCTCCATCATGTTGTTGTGTGTTCTCAGCCTCTAAGACATGCTGCATTATTCATTTGTAGGCCTAAGATCTCTCCGTCTCTCTCTGTCTGTCTCAGTCTGCTGCAGGACGCAGAGAGCAAAGCGGAGATGAGCCAGGGCATCTCTGCCCGCGAGCACTTTGTGTTTACTGACACAGACGGCCAGGTCTACCACATCACCGTGGAGGGCAACACCGTGAAGGATGGAGCGCGCATCCCTCCTGATGTGAGTCCACACACATTTCTCTGTCTGCGTTACACTTTCTGCTCCCAGGGTCTTCTTGTGTCCTTGGCTTCTGACTTCGTGACCTCTGGGCAGTTGTGTTTTTTTGTATAGGCAACAAGGCAGTTGTCTTCCCTACTAACATACAGTACTGTGCAAACGTCAGTCTTTTTACAGGAGATACAGGGTGATTCAAAAAGATTCATCCGATTTCAAAATGATTTATTTCACTTGTAAATCATTACAGATCAATGCAGTGAACTGTAAATGGTTTAAATGAGCATAAAGTTTATTATGTAATTTTGCATGGTCTCAGTATGAACCTCCTCCAGCTGTACAGACAACATCAACACGACAATCAAACTCATCCCTCACTCGATTGAGCATGTCGGGTGTCGCTGCACTCACGGCTCTTTCAGTGCGATTTCGGAGATCATCCAGTGTTGTGGAACCAACGACGAACGCTCTGAGCTGTTGGAGCTTCACTGCCCACGAAAATCACGCTGCACAGTTATGATGGATTCACTCTTATTGAAGTGGAGAACGCAGAACGCTTTCTGCTCAGGCGTCGCATCTCCTCTCAGACTGAAGGGAGCCATCTTCCACTGACAGTCAGAAACTCTATGACCCCCTCTTTCAATTGGTATGTGATTGGTTCCTAAATGCCTCACGGTTGTAAAAATATACCGCTTTGAAATCAGATGAATCTTTTCGAATCACCCTGTATTTCTGAGGAGGTTGGATGTAAGATAATGCATTTGCATAAGGAAGGAGAAAGTCACAGGAAAAAAGTAAAACAACTGGAGCTGAAACTTTTAGATCTTTCACTCTTGGCTGAGATCTCTGTAACTAAGTTTGAGCTGCTTTTGGAGATGCAGCTAATCTCAAGATGAAGCACAAAACAAATGTGCAGAATGTCTAAGTGCAAACAAGATCTTTGCATCTCTCGAAATGGGCAAATAGTGAGACTGGGCTGGCTACTTTCCAATTTGGGAAAGAGCTTGAAATGATGCTTTACAAAATTACACGCAACAAACAAAAACACCCCACCATTCTGCTTTCCTTAAACTACGCAACCCCAGCAGCTGAATTTAGCCTGGTTTAAGAAAAATGATGCATCAGAACACATTCAGTTTTAGTCTTGGGATGACACTTGATTGACAGGGGTAGGGGGGAGGATGGGTCATGCACATTAAGTGATGCATCGGTTCTGAACAGCATTTCCATCAATATAATGAATAATGAAAAGGTCAAAGCCATCCCGTGCTTTTTTTTTTTCTTTTCTTTTTTTTATTTAGAAACAACAAAAGACAGTATCAGAGAGAGTATAGCATGTTATCACGGCCATTTTATGTCGTGTTTTTTGAACAATAATTCTAGTTACGCTAACATTATAACACTATTGCCTCAAGATACACTATATGGCCAAAAGTATGTGGACACCCCTGCTAATTATTGAGTTTAGGTGTCTCAATAGACAATGACAATGGGCTGGGCTGTGTTTCAGGGTTTGGGCCCCTCAGTTCCAGTGAAGGGTGATGTTGATGCTACAGCACAAAGACATTTTACACAGTTATCTGCTTCCAGCTTTGTAACAGCAGTTTGGGGACGATCCTTTCCTGTTCCAGCATGACTGAGCCCCTGTGCACAAAGCAGCTCCATAAAGACATGGTTTGAGGAGTTTGGTGTGGAGGAACTCCAGTGTCATGCACAGAACCTTGAATTCTGCCTCACTGAACATGTTTGGGATGACCCTCTCGCCCAACGTCGGTGTTTGACCTCACGAATGCTCTTTCCACCAAAAGTGCCCACAGACACTCTCCAAAATCTTGTGGAAAGCTTCCTAGAAGAGCGAAGGCCGTTATAGCTGCAAAGGGAAGCGACTCCATATTACTGCCCATGGTTTTGGAATGGGACGTCCAGCAGTCTCGTATAGGTGTGATGGTCAGGTGTCCACATATTTTTGAGCTTATGACTAGATGGTTAATGTTAGATAACAGTACATAACTATTACTGCCGAGAATCCACTTTCTCTTATAACATCAGTTACAAAAAGCCTAGGTGACGGTCGAGGGGTGGACGGTGCGTCCTTGTGTTATTTCACCTAGGGCACAAAATGAGCCAGGACTGCCAAAGCCTCAGAGTGCCCTTTTTTCTCTCTTTATGTCTCGTTCTTTCACCCTCCTTTGATCGTTGTCTCTCTTGCTGGGCAGTTACAGCTGGATGAAAGCCTGATTGTTTGCCTGCCGTCCTTTTTTCTGCTAGTTATCTTTGGTTCTGCCGGATTCTGCTACCTGTGGCATAGACTGAAATAAATGTGTGAGATTGAATAAGTTTCTCAGCACCTTCATTCATGCATAGGCCTGATGTATCTTGTTGATTTTGTACATCATTGCAAAGCTCTACACCTGGTGGGAAAGCATGTGAACTAAGCTTTGTTATTGTGTTCCTCAAAGGATTTTCCCGAAGTTGGCAGGTCTGCTTCTTTCTTTTTTACCATTTAATCTTCTTGTCTTTATGTTTATGTGTAATTCACAAGAGATTTATTACACTGTCATTTCCATGTCTGAGTAAAGGTGAATCATCTTCCTTCTCTCTTTTTCTTTCCTCTCTATAAATGATCATCATAGATTCTTCCTTTCTTCCTCAACTCTCTTTGTGTGTCTGTTATTGAGCCCCTACTTTGTGTTCTGTGTGTCAAACAGTCTCTGTCTGTCTCTGCTTCTGTCTTTCTGTCTGTCTGTCATCCCTCTTTTTCATCATGGTGAGTTTTGTGTTATTCATTAATGTCTTGCTGTCACTCATTCTCTGCTAGTCTCAGAGGAGCTTTCATGACTGTCTTTCATTTAGATTTATCTCTATCTCTTCGCCAAGTTTTTCCCCTCTTGAACTTTGCTTTCTTGTTGGTTGCACTGACCACAATGGAGATTTTTGGTGAACCGGGCATTCCAGGAGTGAATGAGGTCAAGTCCTTTCAATTCAACTGGTGATTCCTTAACTGAGTGCAGATACACAACAGTGTAACTCTGTCTTTATAGTCCTCTGTAAGTTACGGACTTTAGATTTTAGTCCAGATTGATGGAAATTACAAAATAAATTTTACTGTTAATTATACACAACCAGTCAAAAGTTTGGACACACTTAACTCTATGCATTTGCCAGTAACACTTCATAAAAACAGGCCCTAATAAACAGCAATTTAATAATAATCTAATTGATGGTTAATAATGATATAATAGTTACATATATTCTTTAATAAATGGTCCTGTTCGAAATATTAATCATTTACTTAGTGACTTATTAATAATCAGCACTTATTTTGAGTTATTAATTATAGATTGCTAAACAGTATTAAACCCAGACTGAATCTCTGTCATCTATGCAAGTTATGAATTCTGGCTTCTGCACTCAAACAGTGCACTATTTGTCCAGATGTGCACATGTGGCTGAATCCCAAATGAATAGTATTTAAGACATGCAGTGCTGTGAAAAATTATTTGCCCCGTCCCCAATTTCTTCTATTTTTGCATATTTGTCACACTTGAATGTTTCAGATCATCAGACTACTTTTAATATCAGACAAAGATAACCCAACTAAACACAAAATGCTGTTTTTAAATGATGATTTCATTTATTGAAGGAAAAATCCCTGACCCTATGTGAAAAAGTAATTGCCCCTTAGCTAGAAAATCAACCAATTAACCAAATTCAGTTGACTATAGGGTTTAATTTCACTCTTCACACTCAGGCATGATCACTGCCAGACCTGTCGAATCTAAACATCACTTAAATAGAACCCGTTTGGCAATGTGCAGCTAGAAGGTCTCAAAAAGCAGCACATGATGCCACGTACTAAAGAGATTCAAATACAGATGCGAAAACAAAGTCACTGAAATCTACCAGTTTGGAAAGGGTTACAGAGCCATTGCTGTGAGAGCCATTATCCACAAATGGAGAAAACTTGGAACAGTCGTGAACCCAAAATGTCACCAAGAGGGCATCGACGACTCATCCAGGAGGTCACAAAAGAATCCATGAACATCTAAAGAGCTGCAGCCCTCACTTGCCTCAGTTAAGGTCAAAGTACACGATTCCACAATAAGAAAGACACTGGACAAAAATAGCATCCATGGGAGAGCTGCAAGGCACAAACCACTGCTGACCATAAAGAGCACAAAGACTCGTCTCGAATTTGCATAAACGTCTAGATAACCTCCAAGGGATACTATTCTGTGGACTGATGAGTCAAAGGTGGAACTTTTTGGAAGACATGGGTCCCGTTACATCTGACATAAAGCTAACACTGCATTCCACCATAAGAACATCATACCAACAGTGAAACATGGTGGTGGTAGTGTGATGGTCTGGGGCTGCTTTGCTTCTGCAGGACCTGAACGACTTGTCATAATTGATGAAACCATGAATTCTGCTCTATCAGAAAATCCTGAAGGAGAACGTCCACTTGTCAGTTTGTGACCTAAAGCGCAAATGCAGTTGGTTTATGCAGCAGGTCAATGAACTGAAGCACACAAGCAAGCCCACCTCTGAATGGCTCAGAAGAAACAAAATGAATGTTTTGGAGTGGCCAAGTCAAAGTCCTAACTTGAATCCCATTGAGATGCTGTGGCAAGACCTTCAACGGTCATTTCATGTTCGGAAGCCCTCCAATGTAGCAATTCTGCTAAGGGGAGTGAGCCAGAATTTCTCCACAGCAATGTAAAAGACTCATTGCAAGTTATGGTAAATGTTTGATTGCAGTTTTTACTGTCAGGGGTCAGATGAGTCCAACATAAAGTGATTGAAAACTGGACTTTCTTACCCTCTTTCAGCAGTCTGTGGGTGCTTGGCAACAATAAGCTCTAAATGCTGAGTTTCCTGGTGGAATAGTTGTTATAAATAATAGCTTATATTAATAATCAAGAAATTGCAGGTTTTATCATATTTTATGTTGTCAGTCATTTTATTAAAGCAATAAGTCACTGGAGGTCGTACATTACAGTGGTTTTATAATAGATAAGGGGGGTTTATTATGCTTCACATCATGTTTAATAACACCCTTAGCTGTGGTAAAATCATTATAACACACAGCTTTTTGTATCTTATTGCTTTAATATGATTTTAATATTGAAATTATATTTCCTTTTGGGTGGGCCAGTGGCAAACTGCCCCCAATCGTAGCTCTGCCGCTGCTGACAAACTGACCCATTACTCAGCACGTGAGTAATCCTTAAACTAGGGAAACATGTATGATGTATATTTCCTATTACTGACGTTAATATTACTGTTTAACATTTCATGCATTTAGGTGAAAATGGATGGTAAGACATTAAAAATGTTGTAGGTTTAATAAGTAGATGAACATTATGTCCTTTCTGTTCCTCACATTTAACTACTGATTAAATGAACCCGTTCTGTACACAGCCCCGAGCTCAACCCAAGCTAATGAACACATCATTATACCAGCACAGAAAACTGCCCAAGTTAATGCAAACCACTATTGCTCTGTTTAGTTTAAGCAGTTATTTGCCAAAAAACAATATGCTGCAAATTTAATGATACATCCCAATCTGATGCTTCCAACAATGCACTGGCTTTTAAGTTCCATTAGAATATCATTGTTTTCAGTGCCTGGGTAGATACTGAAAAGTTGAGAACTTGAAATATTTATTTTAAACCGTGTGTCCAAGAAAGCTGCATGAAAATCAAGCAGCTAGAACTGAGATGAATGACTGAACTTATTTATTTATTTATTTATTTTTTGGGGTTTGTTTGCTGATTTTGGGTGAGCATATGACAGAGATTTTGAATAAATATTCCCTTAATCAGTAATCAAATAGATTAGATATTATGATCAATAACCAAATAGGTAGCATTGGCTAACAGAGAATATTAATTCTCTCATAAAGGGTCGGCCGTAGTCTGTCTGCATAGGAGATTGTAGACACTGGAAAGCCCCTGGGTTCACAGACAGGCCGGTGTGTGCCTGCTGACCCAGTGAAGAGGGGGGCAAGTTGACCTGGAAAGGTAAAGCGGACTGGTAAAAAACGGCTGAAACCAGTTTTTAGGAGTGAGCGCAACATGCGATGACCAGATTGATGGACGAAGAGATGCACCTATTAGAGAATGAGCTAATATCAAAATTTGAGAAGTAAGACGGGGGAATATCAAACTACCCCAGATAAATGGTATATGAACAGTTTGGAACACTGTATTTGCGCAGCGGGGTCTCTCTGTGCCACCTGATGCTGAAATAAAGAAGAAGCCTTTTCCCTCTTCCACAAACTCAGCGTCTGAAGACTCTTTCATTATTGACAGCTTTTGAGAACTTAGACCTAGAACAGTTATTAGTTTATTAGCTGGTATTAAAAGATTTCTTTTTTATTCATAATATTATGCTGGAGGCCGGGGGTTGAAGGGGATAGGTCCCGACACATAACAGAACGAATGGTGTGCATTGCTCTGTAGAAAAAAATTAAATTTAAAAAAGTGCTTTAGAGAGTTTGAAAATGCGTCTCCACAGAATTGAGCATAGTAAATAGTAGCAGTAGTGCATAGTTGGTAGTACATTTGTTGTTGTAGTAGTTGTAAGTCTTAGTACAAGTAGTTGTGGTAGGTGTACAGTTATTGTAGTTGTGCAGTTGAAGTTGTACTGTTGCAGTAGTTGTACAGTAGTAGTTGTAGTTGTATGGTACAAACGTTGTCATAGTATTTGTATAGTAGTAGTTGTACAGTTGTAGTTGTACAGAAGTTGCACAGTAGTAGTTGTACTTTATTAGTTGTACAGTAGTAGTTGCATTTGTAAAGGAGTTGTTGTACAGTAGTAATTGTACAGTAGTTCTAGTAGTTCTACTGTAATAGTAGTTCTACAGTAGTAGTTGTACAATAGTGGTAGTAGTTGTAATTGTACAGTAGTAGTACAGTGTTAGTAATACAGTATTAGTAGTTTAAGTTGTATAGTTGTAATTGTACAGTAGTGGTAGTAGTTGTACAGTAATAGTAGTTGTTATATAGTAGTAGTTGTACAGTGGTAGTAGGTGTAGTTGTACCATGGTAGTACAGTAGTGGTAGTGGTTGTAGTTGTACAGCAGTGGTTGTACAGTGGTAGTAGGTGTAGTTGTACAGTGGTAGTTGTACATTAGTAGATGTAGTTGTACAGTATTAGTAGTAGAATGTTAGTAGTTGTACAGTAATAGTAGCTGTTTTACAGTAGTAGTTGTAGTTGTACAGTAGTAATTGTACAGTGGTAGTAGGTGTAGCTGTACAGTAGCAGTTGTACAGTGGTAGCAGTTGTAGTTGTTCAGTAGTAGTTGTGCCATGGTAGTAGGTGTAGTTGTACCATGGTAATACAGTAGTGATAGTCTTTGTAATTGTACAGTAGTAGTACAGTGTTAGTAATACAGTATTAGTAGTTGAAGTTGTATAGTAGTAATTGTACAGTAGTGGTAGTAGTTTTACACTAATAGTAGTTGTTATACAGTAGTAGTTGTGCAGTAGTAGTAGTAGTAGTTGTAATTGTACAGTAGTAGTACAGTGGTAGTAGTTGTAGTTGTACAGCAGTCGTTGTACAGTGGTAGTAGGTGTAGTTGTACAGTGGTGGTTGTACAGTAGTAGATGTAGTTGTACAGTAGTAGTAGAATGTTTGTGGTTGTAGTTGTACAGTGGTAGTTGTACATTAGTAGATGTAGTTGTACAGTATTAGTAGTAGAATGTTAGTAGTTGTACAGTAATAGTAGCTGTTTTACAGTAGTAGTTGTAGTTGTACAGTAGTAATTGTACAGTGGTAGTAGGTGTAGCTGTACAGTAGCAGTTGTACAGTGGTAGCAGTTGTAGTTGTTCAGTAGTAGTTGTGCCATGGTAGTAGGTGTAGTTGTACCATGGTAATACAGTAGTGATAGTCGTTGTAATTGTACAGTAGTAGTACAGTGTTAGTAATACAGTATTAGTAGTTGAAGTTGTATAGTAGTAATTGTACAGTAGTGGTAGTAGTTTTACACTAATAGTAGTTGTTATACAGTTGTGCAGTAGTAGTAGTAGTTGTAATTGTACAGTAGTAGTACAGTGGTAGTAGTTGTAGTTGTACAGTAGTAGTAGAATGTTAGTGGTTGTAGTTGTACAGTAGTAGTTGTACAGTAATAGTAGCTGTTTTACAGTAGTAGTTGTAATTGCCCAGTAGTAGTGCAATGTTAGTAGTTGTAGATGTACAGTAGCAGTTGTACAGTGGTAGCAGTTGTAGTTGTACAGTAGTAGTTGTGCCATGGTAGTAGGTGTAGTTGTAACATGGTAGTACAGTGTTTGTAGTTGTACAGTAGTTGTCGTAGTTGTACAGTGGTAGTTGTACAGTGGTAGGTGTACAGTACTAGTACAGTGTTAGTAGTTGTAGTTGTACAGTAGTAGTACAGTGGTAGTAGGTGTAGATGTACAGTAATAATTGTACAGTGGTAGCAGTTGTAGTTGTACAGTAGTAACTGTACAGTGGTAGCAGTTGTAGTTGTACAGTAGTAGCTGTACTGTGGTAGCAGTTGTCGTTGTACAGTAGTAGGGGTAGTTGTACAGTAGTAGCTGTACTGTGGTAGCAGTTGTCGTTGTACAGTAGTAGGGGTAGTTGTAAAGTAGTAGGGGTAGTTGTAAAGTAGTAGTTGTACTGTGGTAGTAGTAGTTGTTGTACAGTAGTAGGGGTAGTTGTAAAGTAGTAGGGGTAGTTGTAAAGTAGTAGTTGTACTGTGGTAGTAGTAGTTGTTGAAGTTGTACATTATTATTAGTAGTAGTAGTTTTAGAGTTGTTGTTGTTGTAGCATTTTCTTGCTTCAGTTTCCTGGAGAAAGCCAGACGCGATGAGAAAGCAGGAGGCTTCTGCACATATGCGTCGGTTAATAGAGATGAGAAAAAAGGTCCTCGGAGCAGATTTCCAGCCATCTGACTGCACTGTTGCATGACACATTTCTGTTTGTGTGTGATGATGAGTGCATCAGAGGAAACGGTGCCAGTCTGCTGCCTCTCCGTGTGTTACTCTTCTCGTCCTCGGGAGACTGATGGGGATAAACAAACAAACAGACGAGCCCGACCCTGCGCGCTTTGTGATCTTTGTTTTTTAAATGTATAATAATCTGCCCAGTGTGGCGTCAGACCACCGAGCTAGATTACCATCCTGTTCTTTCTTCTTATGCTTGAGCACATCAGGCCGCTGTGAGTGAAGGCGCACTATTCAAATGTAAAGCCATATGTAAGTGGGTTGTGGGTTTGTAAGCTGTACCTGGCTGGAATATTTTATAAGCCTGACCAAATCCATCTGCTCTCTTATAGGGTAGTATGGGCAGCATTGCCTGCATTGCCTGGAAGGGAGACACTCTGGTTCTGGGAGACGTGGATGGAAACCTGAATTTCTGGGATCTGAAGGCCCGGCTGTCCAGGTATGAGCACGTCTTCGTGTATGCATAGGCTGTATGTAGAATCCTATATGGATTTTGATTAGTATGCAAATACAAGAACCTGCACTAATATGACTTCTGAAAGAAAGCTCGAGTTAAAATGATCGACATGGGAATTCTGGAGTAATATCCCATATTTTCACATATATGTCGATGCTAATGCCAGTATTGGATAATGGGTTATTTTCACAAACATGCGAAATACTGAAGCTTGAAATAATTAAAATGACAAACTTAATGCCTTCCTTTTTCAGGATATACAAACATTTTTTTTTTTACTTCATTAATTAATCTGTAAATAATTGTTGTTTTCCCAATTTTTTTTTATTATATCCTTTTTTGTTTATGTTCTCAGATTAAGTTTGTTAAAGCTAATTATTAAAAATATACATTTTACAAAGTGTAGTATTTTGATGGAGATAAGAAACAGGTATGCAGGTGCATTGTTATGATGAGAAAATGTCAGAAAACATTTTAAAAATAAGTAAATTAATTATTTTTGTACAATATACATCTTCAGTTGATCTACTAAATAATGTAAATATTTTTTATCTGCATTTGTAACACTCAAATATTTGTGAACATACAGTCGTATAGGAAAGTTTGGGCACCCCTGGTAAAAGTTTTGTTGATTAAGTGTAAATAAGTGAACACATCCTCTACAGTGAACACACTTCTGCACATTTTAATGCAGAGTTACTGTTTTTTGCTGAATTTTAACATACTGGGGAAAAAAAAACAAAACATAAAATGTTGCCTGTACAACATTTTTTTTTCTTTAATGTATTAAACTCAGCAAAGAAATAGAAATTGTGCACTAACATTTGCAGACAAAATGGCATATTTAAGTGTGTTATCTGTGAAGGATGTGTTAACTTATTTACACTTACAAAATCGACAAATGTAAAATGTAAACAAAAAAACCCAAGGCTATGATTTTCTCAGTGGTTCTTTATGGAGGTGAATTGTGAAGACTTTTGAGAGAACCTTGGACGGCAAGAAAACGAATGGGTCCTCCACCAAACCGAGCCTCTCCTCTCACTCAGAGCCCAGAGAACCAAACCAGAAGCTCTTATTTTGGACACATTCTGAGAAGAACCAGCTCACTGGAGAAGATCATTACTCTTGGAAGAGTTAAAGGTAAAAGAAGATGACCAGCTACAAGATGAATGGAGACAATCAGAGGAATCATGAACCAGCCATTCAGAAGCCTGAAGACCCAAACAGAAGGCAGGGCGAAATATGGGGAAACACTACCTGTAAGGCCGCCAGGAGGCGAAAGCAACTTGGTAGCATTTAATAATAATAAATAAGTTTTTGACATCGTTTGAAAATGACTGTTGCCCTTTACATTGTGTATAAAATTCATGAATGGACTGAAAGAAATGGCCCAAAATGACTTGGAAAAAAGTCTGGTTCTGTTGACTTACATTAAAAGTAAAATGTTTTTTCCTTTTTCTGTAAAGTTACCATTTCGGATATACGATAGATCTACCTGAATATAGGGTTGTAGATTCAGTAGGATAACCCAGCATCACATAAACATATGTGATGCAGATAACCCAGCATCACATAAACATTCTGATCTTCCAGAGGCCCATAAATACACCATCAAATATCCGATACCGATATGATTCCGATGTCATCATTCATCCGTAATTAAAAGAGGATGGTGTGTTTTGCGTGTGTTGTGTGTTAGATCTGACATGCTGATGCCTAAATCTCATTCTTAACTCAGGGGAATCCCTACACATCGCGGATGGGTGAAGAAGATCCGCTTTGCTCCTGGGAAAGGCAACCAAAAGCTCCTGGTGATGTACACTGACGGAGCTGAGGTGTGGGATACCAAAGAGGTGGGCTCAGTTCATTTACTGTTCAACTGCTCATAAACAGTGAAGACATTTACGTTCCAGTACAGGGTTCTTCATCCAACAGCGGTAATGAATGAAGCCTAGCTGAGACCAGCCTCCATTAAAGGACCCCCATCATGGAAGAAAAGGTTTTTGATGTAGTATGTAAACGTTGTTAAAGTGTTAATAATGCTCCGTTCACTCTCCACTCCATACAGTCCAAACAAAACAACCTGTTTTGCATTTTTTTTTGTGATGCCACAAAAACCAACACGTTTACCTACTGTGTACCCACATGTTAAGCTTACAGCAGTTTAGCTCCGCCCACTCATGCTAAACTTCAAAACGTCCATACTGTTTTTTTTGATGGAGGAACAGTACAGGACTGCCAATCAGAACAGAGCTCATTTACATATATCCCAGTAACAATAACAGCCTGTTTTATTCAAATGCATGTAAAATGGTCATGTAAAATTAAATTATCCATGTTTTTGGCACATAAAACCACACAAATGCACCTCGGGGAAAACTAAAATACAGGAAAAATGGAGGATGTGGCCTTTAAATGACCCATTTTATGGACATTAATATATTAGTTGTCGTTGAATGTAAACATTGTAAAAGTTCCCAAACTGCACCATTCAGTCTCCACTCCAAACGATATCCACTACAGTCCATATATGAAAACTAAGCTGCAAAATCAGCTCATTTTTCATTAATTGACTTTTGTGATGTCACCAAAAGCAATCCACTTACATGTTTATAGCCCCGCCCATTGTTATTTAAGTTATAAGCAGTGTTTGTGTCCAGACTGCCTTTGTATTAGACGTAATACAGGACAGCCAATCAGAGCAGAGCTCATTCACATTTAACAGTCTTAAAGACCCAATTACAAAAACAGCCTGAGCAATAAAGAAGATTTGAAAATGGTGATGTGAAAATACATTCTGACATCATGTGAGTTAGGCAAATATGGTAAGTGGACCCCAGGGGAAAAATAAAATACACTGTGCATTGTAACATGTGGCTTCATTAAGCTAATGAGATCTAGTTTAAAAAGTCCCTGTTAGTTTATTTACTTTAATCTTATATTAATATTTTAAATAAAGCACTGTGCATTTTAAATTTCTGGTCTCCACTAAAACTGAGCTGTGTCACAGGAGGAGGGTGGCTGGCAGAGGAGTTAGTTTCACTCCTTTAAAAAATGTAGATGTGTACATTGGCTTCAAAATAGATTTAAAATCAAAAGAAAGTTGAAATGTTGAACGGATGATCATAAAAAGAAAACCTTTACCGCATTAAACAGATATAAAAACTGGCACTGGCTACTCAGGCCACCAAACCAATGAATCTGGTGTCCACAGCTAAGACTTTGTGGCCAGAATAATGGAAACATGTTTGTTGTATATTTATTGCATTGACAATTAAGATGCATGCTTTAGTACCAGAAACAGCCAGAAGGAAATATTTATTAAAAACTGTACAGTACTAAGAATAAAACTGTTTTGCTGACCGCGGTGATCCACCTGGCCCCGACGTCCTCTCATCTACAGTTGAATGCAAAAGTTTAGACAGTCCTGGTCAAATGTACATGTTGTGTTGATTTTCTTTCAACACATCCTCTAATGAGAAAACACTTCTGCACATTTTAATGCACAGTTGCTGTGCAGTTTGCTGAATATAACATATTGGGAAAATTATATATATATGTAAAATGTGGTCTGTTCAAAAGTTACAGCACATTTTATGCTTTACATTTTATTTTTTTTTCAGTATATTAAACTCAGCAAATGAACAAAAAGTCATTTTTAGGTGTGTTCTCTGTAGAGGATGTGTTAATTTATTTTTGCTAAGAAAATCAACAAAATATATAATTTTTTTATCCATTAAACTTTGGGTCCTGAGGTAATTCCCTCTTTCACAGGTGCTACTCTGTGATTTTACTGTCGTCCACGATGGCCATGTCAGTGTTTTTCTCCCTCCTCCCCTGAGAACATGACAGACCATAACATTTTTTTTTGTTTTGTTCTGGTATTTTTTTTGTTTGTTTATGTTTGTTGAAATCAGCTCTCCTCTGATCATTTTAGTCTCGTCCGTGTTTTTCCCGGCAGATGTCTCACATTGGAAAAAAAAGGAATTTTGATTGCAGCTACTCACTGTATTTGGTATTGAACCCTTTCTGAATCATGCAACAAAAAAACAAGAATCACTCGACCAGTTACTACGTCTGGGTGGTAAAACTTCGACTCCATACACTACCCGATAGAGCGCCATCAGGAGGAGAAAGAAAATAAAGTCAGTGAGAAAAGCGAGATCCCGCAGGCTGATCAAAGGGGTGGTTATAACAGCAGCTACAGCCATACAGCCTTACTTTATATTCATATATGCACAATATCATCAACTTTTTTACGAGCATTCTTTAGAAATAATGCATAGTTTTATGACAGTTCGTTAAAGATCTGACGTGATATTAAAAAAAAAAAAAATATCACAAGAAACTCGCTCATCCTGTGGTAATTTTATCGTCACTGATGATTAAAACACTGTTTACAGACGTCCACCCTGATAAACCCATTCAGCCCGAGTTGGGTTGTTGTTTTATTATATTAACCTAATTTCTGTATCTTACTTTTCATCAAAAAAATATGAAGCAGCTCCATGTATTCTGCATAAATTAGTGTAGCGTAGAATATGTGAAGCACTCTCCGCAAACAAAGCTGTTTTCTTGCTGCATTCAGGTGAGGAAGGCGGATTGTGCGGCTCTGGGATTCTGATATTTATCGCTCTACTCACCTGGTAGTAAAGCTGCATCTGAGAGAGCCCTTTTTCACAGACCTCCAAGAGGGTTTGCTGGAGATGTATGCCCGTTTCAGCTTGTTTGAGGTTGGATGTCATTACAATTTATCAGTTTTGCTGGGAAAATCTCACATCACGTTTCTTTTTGCTTTTCTTTATGTGCATCAGATCTTCTGCCTGGGGGAGAGCCTAAGGGTAGAAGTGTTATATGACTAGAAGTGAAGCTCATGAAGGAACAATGAGCTCTTTCATCATTAAGTGCTGCTGTAAAGTGTGTGTATTGTGCATGTAGAGCCTGCGGTAGTTGCAGCATCTTTTTGTGAGTCGAGTAGAAGATTGTTATATGTTATGTTGTTGTATATGAGGTCCAACCCCGCAATTCTTCAGGACACTGACTTGGTCACATTTGTCCGTGATGCTCTGTGGTCTTTTCACGTCTTAAAAATATGTCATTTTCAAGCTGTTTGAGGCTAAACTGACGAAAGGGTCCAATACAGTTTCAATGAGACGCAAATCGTATAACCATGCACCATGTATTGTATTACACTGTAGACAAAAAATGCCATGAAAGTTGCAGTGCATTTCTGGCACCTTAGTAAATATACAGTACTGGACTCTAAGACATTTTACAGTAAATTATCTGTAATTTTAAACCATTAAACTCACAGCACTCTCATTATAAATATACAGTAATTCTGAACGTTTTTACAGCTAAAGTTCAGAAGGTGTAAAACAAAACAAAACAAGAAAAAACAGAAAACAAAAGCCTGAACACTAAATCTAATCTCAGCTGTCTGAGTCTCAGTGAGTCACTCTTTCCCTTCATTCCAGCTTCCATTCTTTTAGGAGACTCACTTTCAGTTCCTCAAAGAATCTGCAGACACACCTCCAAAGTTCAGTCTTAGAAGCTGGTTGATCATTTTTTGAAGTAATCAAACACATTCAGTGGTGTTGAGATCTGGACTCTGGGGTGGTCAGTCCATTGTTCAGCTTCTTTGTTTGATGTGTCCGTCTCCTTTTCTCAGTGAGGTTCTTCTTGACAGCTACACATCCTTTCAGACCCACAGCGCTGAGTCGTCTTCTCACAGTGGAAGGATGGACAGAAACACCTGTGGATGTTTTCAGATCTGAAGCAGCTTGATTTTCTCCTCTCTCTCAGAGATGAAAGCTTTAAGTGCTGTTTATCTGATGGGGGCAGTTTTGGTGTCGACCAGGTCTTCCAGGTGGCTATTAGGAGACAGTTTTCTCTGTAGCTTTTAATCATTTTTTTAACTCCTGTTAAATTTTTCTTTGACTTTCTCCTTCCTTGTGCAAGCAGATTATCTTATATCTGATCTACTCAGAAATCTCTCTTAAAAAATGAATAACTTGTACTTAGTGGCTGTTTTGACTTGAGTTTAAATAAATGACGTGGTCTCTGACTTTTGATCTACTGTGCAGTACTGTAGACCATTGTAAATGTGAACAAAGACATTCTCTATCATCATTGATGAGTCAACCGTTCTATTGACCAGATATTATTTAGGTGGTGGACTCAGGTTGATAATGAACCACCAACTGAAAATTTCCAACCAGGAGCAGTTCTCCAGACTGTTGATGAAGGGCTAAAGGGTGGCTAACATAAATTGTGCATGAAAGAACTTTCTCTAACTGTACACCGGTGTAGGTCTTTACAATCTAGATGTTTCTAATTGATAGTATTCCAATGACATTACAATCACGCTGCCACTATTTTGGTTGGCAACCTCAAGTTCATTCAGCAGTGCTGTGGCTGTGTGTAATGAAACGGCATAACCGATCCAGCACATGCAGCGAAACACGTTTTTTAATTTGAGTGTATTGACTTGATTTTATTTGATTTGTTGTTGTAGTGATGACACACGAAAGCTAAAATCTAAATGGCTGAGATTCCCTGAGCATTATTTTTTTTGCATTCCAAACTGCACACTAGCACACCAAATAGTGTACAAAAACACCGCATATACCATTAGAAATGCACTCATCAGTGTAGTAGGTGAAGTACAGAAGTGTGTGGTTTAGGAGGCAGGATTAGATAAGTGAGACGCGTTCAGCAGATACAATGGCTGATTAGCTTCGCTGTGCTGCACATGAGCTGCTCAGTAAACATTTTCAAGAGAACGTTTTAGGTATTTGTTGCTTTTTTTGAGGTAAATTAATGCATTTATCGAGGTAACTTGAGCCGATGTTTGCTTCATATTCACCAACTTTCAAAATTCATCCTGTTTAACTGCAGTGCCATTTAAGGTGGAACAGAAAATTCAAATAAGGAGCTGGCGAATCAGAAGCTGACTTGAGCTTGATATGTATGTATGAGTTTATTATTTAAGAGCTTTGGTAGCTAACTTTATTTGGAATTCTGCAACTAAGGCCGGGGTTACATTACACGACTTTTACCTCGATTTTAGCCCCGAGTCTCAGTCTGGCTGAGTCTGAGCTGGTCGGCCCTAGTCTGCAGATTTTTGGGTCAGTCGGAGTCGACAGTTGGAGAGAGAGTGAAGTCGTGTTTGAGGGGCGCAGACTCAGATTTCTGGCCTCCTGATCGCGTTTCAGACCAGTCGGAGTTTATCAAAGTGCAAACTGACGAATGACTCAGTCTGAACGGACTCTGAAAACTTAGAGCGCGAAAGAAGAAAATACAGCAAGTAAACAAAGAAAAGTGCCATAAAGTCACTCACTTGTTGAGCGAAGCTTTTTAATGAGCTGAGTTTAAGGTATGAACACAGTCGAGTTTACCAAACTGATCTCAATTTTAAATCCATGATCCTCACTTAAAATGCCTGCTGCTTCTTTACTCTATCAGCGCAAATGGCAGAGAAAACAGCAGGAGCTCCACATTTGTTTATTTGGGTCTCCTAGTAACGGGAGTTCACGAGAGTTCGCGAGAGTTTGCAAGAGTTCATGTGAGTTCAGTGAGTTCCGTTCAGTTCAGCAGCAGTTTGACAGTTGAGTAGTGTGTGATCCCTAATTGTTTAATGTGGATCCCCAGTATTTATCCCAAAAAATCAAAAAACCAGTGTGATAGTGTGAGATGCCCAGTCCAGTGTAGTGAACCCAAGGCTTTAAGCGTCTACATGTCTTTAAATCGTTTTCATGGTCATTCTGGTCTATTTTGCTTGGTTTTTTTGTCCACCTGCAGGGTTGTAGCTGCAATAACGGTGAGGAGATGAGCTCTATCAGATTTTCCTACCAACATGGCTACATGGTCTTCTTAATGACATAATGGAATCCTATGAATAAAGTGTCCAGTGAGTTTAGTAGATGGCGTTAACGCCACCAATAATGGAAATGTTCTTAGGTTTAACCAGAGCAACATACTGGAGCTCTAGTCTTTGGGCGGTGGAAGTGTCAGAGTGTGGTGGTCTGTAGGGAGTATATACTGACATGCTGTCACAGTCCTTTCATACACACAGACCCTTCTGCGAAGAGAGAGTGGAAACACATCACTGCTCCCTCACAGCGTCCTAGTCTGACACCCAGAGTCTCACACAGAAATCTGCATATCACGTCCTGCAGGATGATGAATGGCTTCTCTCTCTCTCTCTCTCTCTCTCTCTCTCTCTCTCTCTCTCTCTCTCTCTCTCTCTCTCTCTCTCTCTCTCTCTCTCTCTCTCGGGACGTGGATCATCATCCTGTATTAAAGAAGCAATCCGAGTTGTTTCCAGTACTTTCTAATTTAGAGGCAGATGTAGCTGTTTCAGATGTTTCCAGGACAGAATGCTGATTGTATGTTTTAATCAGATGCATTTTCTCATTGAACATCTGTTGTTTCTTTTCTGACAATAATCATGATAATGAGATGGTTTTTAACCACATGTTGATACTGCTTGACAATTTGAAATGCCGCTTCTGATTGTCAGCGCTACGGTATTGTCAATGAATTTTAAACAGAGACCATTAGATTAAAGGAATGCAAGATGCTTGAAATGAACAGTGGACGACAGCCGATAGTGTCACTTATGTAATTCATTTATCCTTTTGTGGGGGGTTTTGTGTGGTGGCGTTTTCGTTTAAAACAAGTGATGCACCAAAATGAAAATTCTTGACTCAAACCTAAACTGAAATTCGAGAGATGCTTGGTGTAACGAGCTGGGTGAACGAAACAGACAGTTGCGGATGTAAAATAAACCATAAGGTTTGTTAAAAAGAGGACGATCCAAAAGAGCAGAATGAACAGCAGAACAGGTCAAAAACCAGAAGAGCAAGAGACGGTACATAGGGTCAGACAAAGAGTTGAAACAAGCAAGGGTCTAACCAAAAAGCAAGCAAACCTTAGGCAAACATGAAAATCCAAAAACAGTGATAGACAAAATGGGTTCATAACAGGAGAACAAACAAATCAGACAGGCTTAGTAAACACTGGCAAACAGAGGCAGCACTTCACAATGAATGAAGTAAACAGACAGGTATACAAGAGGTAACAGGTGACAGCAATTAGAATTCCGATGACTGAGATCTGATGACTGGTGGATGTTTGGCTGGCTGGGTCATGTGACTGACTGATGCATCCTGGAAGTTGGAGTCCATAAGAGAATCAGAGTTTGTCTGAGAGCCGGGAAGCAAGTTTTTTTTTAATGTACAATTTGCCAGATTTTTTTAATATATGCTTTTAACGTAATAATGCTGACGATGCCTCAAAGGAAATATTCGCCATGTTTCGTACGAGAACCAAAGGAATTAGAGAGGACTAATTTAACTATAAACAACTTGCTAAAAATAAGTTGAGTGATATGTACACAATGTTTTATCCTCTTTTATTGTTAAAACCAGGAATTATTATGGAGCCTTAATAAGTTGTTAGGTTACTGTTGAGTAAATTCCTCACTTTCTGTGCTGGGGGTTTCTCCAGAATCCCCCCAGAATTTTTGTATAGCTCAAGCACACTAATGGCATGGATTAGTGGTAAAATTATTAAAATAACATAAATAATAAAAATAATAATTAATAAATAAATAAAACAGAATTCCAGAGCACCTATACTGTAACAACAGAAACACTTCGTTTTTAACGTGTCAAGCACATGAACGTGGCTTTGGAACACCTGTCAGGCAGTCTGATGTTTCTCCAGCAGAGGGCGCTGTTAGCACACAGCTCGCTGTAATGTTCGTAATCTAGAGAAGAAATAGACATGAACTCACACCAGCAGGATGTAACAAACACATGTGTGTGCAGTAACAGCTTTCAGAACCAGAGGTGGAGAAGTTTATGACCTAAAGTATTCTCAGCACTATTCAGTGTTTTATTATTTAATATGTGTTTGTGCTTCACTGTTTATATCCTGCTACTCAGACTGTTTATCTGTGCTGACCGGAGCTTGAAAGCAAAAAAAAAACAAACAGCATCTTATCATGTTCTCAGTTTCATTATCATTCAGATTGTTTGTCAAGTGTTAGATTTTGGCATTTCTTTGTACGCCTATTTAATCGGCACAATGCTTTGGACCATTTTCTGAAAATGTTCAGTGGCAGAAATTTCTGTGTCTCCCTATTAAAAAATTCATTCAAACTAATTATTTGATTGCACAAATTCACTCCTGCAGGTGCAGATGGTCAGCAGTATCCGAGTGGGCCGGAACGTGAGTTACCGTATCCTGGACATTGACTGGTGCACCTCGGACAAGGTGGTGCTGGCCTCAGACGATGGCTGTGTGCGAGTGCTGGAGATGGCCATGAAGTCTGCCAGCTATAGGATGGATGAGCAGGACCTAACAGGTACATGTGTATTGAACTTGTAATCCAGCAGAAGGAAATATGTTTGTCTTAGATTTGCTGACCTGAGCCAAGTTCTGCTTCTTAAATTAATAACAGTTCTGCAGTGCTCTGACCCTTTAACCATCTTATTAGGTTGTTTTCTGGCTAAAATACAAATACAAACCAGTTCTAAAGAAGTTGGGACAGTAGATAAAATGCAAGTAAAAACAGAAAACAGTGATGCATTATTCTACTTTGACCTGTATTTGATAAAACAGTACAAACACAAAGGGATGAAAAACGGGATGGGGCAATTTAAGACAAGACACGTTAAACAGGTGAGGCAGTCATGCTTTGGTATAAAAGGAGCATCCAAGAAAGGCAGACTCCTTTATGAGCGAGGATGGGTCAAGGCTCACCACTAATCCAACAGTTTAAGAACAACATTCCTCAGCCAGGGATTGCAAGGATTTTAGGTATTCTACAGTGAATAATAACAGAATATTCAGGGAATCCAGAGGAATCTCTGTGCATGAAGGACAATGCCAAATACCACAGCTGAATATCTGAGACCTTTGATTCCTCAGATGGCACTGCATTAAAACTGGCATGTTTCTGGGATCACCGCATGGGCCTGGGGATACTTGGACAAACCGTCGTCAGTAAACACCATCTATCTCTGCATTCACAAATGCATGTTAAGACTGTACTATGCACAGTGGAAGTCATACAGTAAATGGACAGAATTATTGGGACGCCCCCCTAATGATTGAATTCATGTGTTTCATTTATACCCATTAATAACAGGTGGATAAAATTAAGCACTTAGCCTTGAAGTCTTGATAGACACACACTGGCGGTAGAGGGTTGCACTGAGCAGCTCAGTGACTTTAAACATGGCACTGTCACAGGATGCCACCCTCACCATGTCAGTTTGTGAAATTTCTGTCCTGCTTGATCTACCCCTGACAACTGTAAGTGCGATTATTCTGAAATAGAAGCACCTCAGAGCAACAGCAGCTTAGCCACAAAGCAGTACATCACGCAAACTCACAGAGTGGCTATCCTCTGTTGAATCATCACTAAAGAGTTCCAAACTCTCTGGAAGCAACATCAGCAAAAGAACTGTGCATTAGGAGCTTCACGAAATGGGTTTCCGTGGCCGAGCAGCTGCACACATGCCTAAGATCAAAATGCACAATGCCAAGCGTCGGATGGAGTGGTGTAAAGCACCGCCACTGGACTCTGGAGCAGAGGAAATGCATTCTGTGTAGTGACGAATCAGCTTCTCTATCTGTCAGTCTGATGGACGAGTCTGGGTTTGGAGAACGTTACCTGCCTGACTGCACTGTGCCAGCTGTAAAGTTTGGTGGAGGGGGGATGATGTTATGGGGCTGTTTTTCAGGGGTTGGTCTAGAACCCTTAGTTCCAGTGAAGGGAAATCTTAATGCTTCAGCAGAACAAGACATTTGGACAATTGTGCACTTCCAAATTTGTGGGAACAGTTTTCTGCTCCAGCATGACTGAGCCCCAGTGCACAAAGCAAGGTCCATGAAGACATGACAAGGTGAGGTGTGGAAGAGCTTGACTGGCCCTCACAGAGCACTGACCTCAACCCCATCACACACCTTTGGGATGAACTAGAACAGAGAATGTGAGCCAGACCCTCTCGTCCAACATCAGCGTCTGACCTCACAAATGCTCTTCTGTATGAATGGGCAAACATTCCCACAGACACTCTCCAAATCACGTAGAAAGCTTCCCAGAAGAGTGGAAGCTGTTATAGCTGTGAAGGGTGACCAACACCATATTAATGCCTATGGATTTAGAGTGGGAGTCATAAAAGCTCCTGTGGATGTATTGTGTTTGTGTCCCAATACTTGTGTCCATATAGTGTATGTCAACAGCATCGAGAAATTCTCCCAGTTTCTCTGGACTTGAGCTCATATGAAATGGACTGGTGCACAGTGGAGATTATGCATGGTGGTAAGATTTCTCTCTGTCTCGCTCTCTTTCTCTCACATATACAGATCCAGTGTGGTGTCCATACCTGCTGCTGCCCCGTGCTGCTCTCACTCTGAAAGCCTTCCTGCTGCTGCAGCCCTGGTCTGGAACCTACACCATGGACATCGGTCAAGTGTAGGTATTAAATGTTGTTGTACTGCACTAACATAAACATTTCCTATTTCCTCTGTGACATTCATTTCTAGATTAGATTAAGATCCAGTAGATCTTAGTCTAATCTAATCTAATTTAATAGACAAAATCCACACTGTGATCCTCATGACCCCCTTCAGTTTCATAGCAACTAAAAACCATGAAAATCTTGTTTCTAGTTAAACATATCAATATTATTCCTCAGATGATCTCAGTGTAGTTACAGACATCACTATTTGTGAAATTGATGGGGAATTTTGATGATTTTTCTAAATTTCTGCACAATTAAATCTTTTAGATGCAAAAAAGTAATTCAGAGTGGTTTGGTGTGAAATGTTCCATTCTAGAGAAACTTACCGAGTCAGAACTGTTCACGGTGGTGGTGATAGGAACCAGACGTCCACCTCTAAAAGCTCCCTCACAGAAAGTTACTACATGAAATTGTATATTCACAATGGAGGGGCATTGTGAGGCAGAATAGTCCCCAAAGAAAACATTTTTTCAGATTTTCCACTATTTTACCATCATCAACATTCCATATAAGCTCAGAAGACTCGTGTAGGTTCACTGGTGGTTCTGGATAGTAAATAAAATGTCTATATTTGTGTTGTAGTCATGGTGACCCCTGGTTCCTATCACCACCACTGTAAAGAAATCTGAACCATTTCACACCAAACCACTCTAAATCACTCTGTTTAGATCTCATCCATTGAATTATGCAAAAAAAAAGTGGATACAAAGATCCAGTCATGTTTAAGAAAATGACTCAGTTGACCTCAGTTGAACAGATATCACCACCAGCTTTGCAGGTCTGAGTCTGAAAGCCTCTATGAGCAATTATAAATGCTATTTTAGAAAAATATAAACTATGAAATAGTAAGGGACGAGTACCTTTTTTCAGGAAGGTCTACTTTTCTTCATAGCCTTACAGCTAAGGAAGAAAATGCCTCCCTTCCTTTCCCAGCTGGCTTTTTTTTCTGAAAATACTTTCCAAAATCCAGCCTGAGATCTCAAAACACTGTAAGCTCTGCTCACCTTTTCAGCTCATTGTTGCCAAACCTTTTAAAGCTTGCTTTGCTCTCACATCATATATTTCAAGCTTGCTTTTTCAGCTCAGTGGATTAAATGTTACGTCAGGAATATCCTGGATATTTGTTTCCTGTCTTCGCTAAGAGAGGACCTTTCAGATGAATAGTGCCAAGTAGTCTTTTACAAAGCATTGACTAATGACTTCATTAGATATTGGCAGCTCATTGTGCTCAGTATTGCCAGCGACAGTGAACAATTATACATATTCATTTGCTTTTATGGGGGCTGCGTTGCCTGCAGTTACAGAATGGCTTCGGGTGGACGTTAATTAGATGTTCTGTGTGCTTCAGATAGCACTTTGGCCATGTATGAACATGGTGTTCCTTGTAATTGTGGAATTGCACAACTCATTTGATTTACAGCAGATCTATTTTCTTGTTAATAATTAATGACCTACAGGTTTTTTTGCTTCCAGTCAAGTTGGAAATGCTGTTTGTGTTGTGACCAGGGTGTGACAATTACTCGATTCAGATCAGAAGAATAATTGATTATAATTGACCTCCTTATCTATGCATATGAATTCTTGCCACTTTATTTTTATGTACGGGAAAATGCAAAAGTTTGAACACCCCTGTCAAATTACCTGTTGATTTTCTAGGTGTAAATAAGTTAACACATCCTCTACAGGGAACACGCTTAAACATGTCATTTTTGTGTTAAATGTAGTGCACAGTTTCTATTTTTTTAGTTGATTTTAATGTATTGGAAAAAAATTTAACACAACAAAAGCCCATTTTTGTTGCTTTTCATTTTTCTGCATCATTTGAACACAGCAGCTGACCGTTACATTGTGTGAAAATTTCATGATGAATAGGCCAGTAGAAATGCTACATAATCAACTGAAATAAAACATTCATATTAACTTTAAAAGGTAAAAATGTTTTTGCTCCTGTAAAGTTACTATTGTATATATTTTTATATATTTTATATATTTTTCAGTATATAAAATTTGCTTATTTTTAAGCTTATTTTTATGTACTTAATTTTAGGTTTTATTTATTTAATTTTTAATATGTTAAACTCTGCAAACTCTTTTTTTTTCTCTGTAGAGAATGTGTCAACTTATTTTCACTTAGAAAATCAACAAGTCATGGAATTTGAGGTGGCATGCAACTATATTTTTTAATTAAGCCTTTTTTTAAATCTGTGATTATGCTTTTCTTATTTTTTCAAGTCCACAGTTTAGCCCTTTTTAAAAACTCCCACTACTTCTTGAATTATCACAATAATTGTGAGATTTCTCAGTTACTAATATAATCAGTAGTGACAGCACTAGTTATGATTGAGCCATTTTGTGGTTGCAGTTTAGTTGCAGTCATAATTAAGTTTATTTTGTGCAGTTGTTTGCTTTTACAATCAAATGTTTACACCATGGTTTTATCCTTCATGGGTTTTAAAGGAATGGTTTGGCAAAAAGTCAGTTTCGCTTTTCTATTCCGAGATATAGTGGATCAGCCAAGAGGTGTTTGGTGTCCAAATTTGGTGTCCATTGCTAACAAACACTAGAACTCAATAGTCACCCAAATAGCCAAAGTCATTTGTGTAAAAATACATCCCCCAGACTTCTCTCAACCCATTCAAACCAAATCTGGGTCTTCATTAAGGCCATGCAGACTTGTCAGTGTGGTTTAGTGTGAATTAGTCATGTTTCATTCTAATAGTATGATTTAGTATGAACTATAAAAATGACCAAAACTGTGGGCAGCCAGTTCAGACAACAGGGTCTGTATTCACAAATCTCCTCAGGAGTCAGAGTACTGATCTAGAGTCAGTAATCTAGAATGACTATCATAAATATAGAGAAAATTAATCCAGGATCAGGCCTGCTTTGTGAATTAAGTAAATAAAGTAAATAAAGTTTTCTTCATTTTTGTAGCTCACAGTAAGTCACACTGGGCTCAAACCCACATCTGCTTGACCTTAATGAAGACCTGGATGAGGTTTGAGTGGGTTGAGAGAAATTTCGGTGATACATTTTTACAGAAATGATTAGGGCTGTTTGGGTGACCATTGAGTTCTAGTGTCTGTTAGCAATGTTAGCCTTGTAGTTACAGGTCTAAACTAGAGAAGCCAGATTTGGATTCCAAACATGTCAGCTGATCGGCTACATATGAAGTAAGTGGGAAAATGGGTACGATTTTTAAAGTCTAACTTTAGAGGGCAGCAGTGAGTGCTGTTTGTTTATTTGAGCTCGAGCTGTTTCTGTCATCAGTTGAGAGCTGCAAAGTATCAACAGCTACTAAGCAAGAATGGTGATCAGCCAGTTTGACCACTTCCTTCCTTCACGCTTTGGCCTTAATAGTTCAGTGCAATGATTAAAAAGACAGTTACACCGATCAGGCATAACATTATGACCGCCTGCTTGTTTCTACACTCGTTGTCCATTTTATCAGCTCCACTTACTATATAGGTGCACTTTGTAGTTCTACAGTTACAGACTGTAGTTTTTAAACACTGCGTCCACTCACTGTCCACTCTATTAGACGCACTAAGCCAGAGACGATAGCTCATCTGCTGCTGCACAGTTTGTGTTGGTCATCCTCTAGTCCTTCATCAGTGGTCACAGGACGCTGCCCACAGGACGCTGTTGGCTGGATATTTTTGGTTGGTGGACTATTCTCAGTCCAGCAGTGACACTGAGGTGTTTAAAAACTCCAGCAGCACTGCTGTGTCTGATCCACTCAGACCAGCGCAACACACACTAATACACCACCACCACATCAGTGTTACTGCAGGGCTGAGAATGATCCACCACCCCAACAGTACCTGCTCTGTGAGGGTCCATGGGGGTCCTGACCACTGAAGAACAGGGTAAAAGGGGGCTAACAAAGTATCAGAGAAACAGATGGACTACAGTCTGTAACTGTAGAACTACAAAGTGCACCTATATAGTAAGTGGAGCTGATAAAATGGACAATGAGCGTAGAAACAAGGAGGAGGTCATAGTGTTATGCCTGATCGGTGTAAGTCGTTAATTTGTTAATATGGCAATTAATAGATAAAATTTCAGAATCGTGACTGGCCTCCTCCATGTCCTCCATTTTTAGTTCATTCTTCCAAGATCTAGGAGGTCCTTGTGTCACTGAACTTTCTAAATACTCTCTGTTTACGTTTCAGGGACTACAGCGAGAAGGACGAAATCAAAGGCTTGGTCCAGGAGCAGCTGAACTCTCTGTCTAAGTGAGTAATGACCTATATTGAGCCTTTAAAAGGAGCCAGTACTTCATCTTCTCTGTATCAAAGAGGTGTTTTAAGCCCAGGTTGTTTTCCTCTCCTGTAGCAGGTCTATAAATACAGTCGATGGCTGAAATTGTCCCTTTTTTTAACACTCAGCCCTGTGCATGTTGGACGTGACGTGATTTTAGCTTAAGAGATGACAGCTTTAAAAAAAAGCCTGCTGTCTTGATACACAGTGTGTTCCTTCCATTTTGGGAAGATGAGTGGCTGTGGGCTTCAATTTTTTCTTTCTTTATTTTTTTGTTTTGTGCATCCTCAAATGTGCTGTATCCTGCTTCCTTTCTTAGTGACATCAAAAGTGTTCTCCAAGACCCAGAGCTCAATCTGCTTCAGCGCTGCCTCCTTGTGTCGCAGTGAGTGTACTGTATTTATTGATAAGTGTCAGCCCATCAGGACATATAGAGGTGCAGCTTAAAGGAAAATTCCACTGATTTTTCCAATATTCTGCATAAAAGTGGTTTAATGTGATTTGGTTTGTTGTTGAGAAACTAAAACTAAAACTGTCTGAGTTTCTATCTGAGTTTTATATGGAAGGTTGATGGTAAAATAGTGGAAAATCTAAAAAAAATACATTTTCTTTGGGGACTATTTTGCCTCACAACACACAGCGTTTTGGGCCAAGGAGCTTTCTCAAAACGTCAGACATCACACAGTGTATTCATTACCATTGGGAGCTTTTAGAGGTGGACATCTGGTTCCTATCACCACCACTGTGAACAGTTCTGACTCAGTAAGTTTCTCTAGAACAGAGCGTTTCACACCAAACCACTCTGAATGACTCTGTTTACATCTTAACCATTTAATTATGCAGAAATGTTCACTGTCCCAATTTTTTGTAACCATAAATCCTACAACTTTATTGACTGTAGGGTGGGCAAAAAGGCAAAAATATAATATCACCATACTTGACATTTTTATGATACACAATAAGAATCACAGTATTTAGTTTTTCTGAGGTTTGATTTGTTTGAACAGACAGAAATCCTCAGTAGTGCCACATTTAAAAAATAATGCTGTCAAAAACACAGATTACAATGATTTTTAGTTTACTTTTGTTGATTTTCTGAGTGAACACACCTCCTCCACAGAGAACACACTTAAACATGCCATTTTTCTGCACATTTCAGTGCAAAATTGGTATTTATTTGCTGAGTTTAATGAAAAATGTGCCATAACTTTTACACAGGCTACTGTTGTTTTATATTTTTTCCAATATGTGAAATTAATTGCATTAAATTGTGTAAAATGTGTATTCTCTGTAGAGGATGTGTTACTACCTGTTTAATCTGACTAACTGTGCTCTCTTTGTCATGATAAATGCATCTGTTTAGTGCCCCTTAACTCCTGATGATGTCCATGATACACTCAGAAAAGTGAATTGTGATATAATTTATCACAATAACAAAAAAAGCATCATCATCTTTCCCACCCCCAGTTGACTGCTCCATATTTCTCTTTCTACGAGACTCATCTCTTGAAATAAAATGATGATAATTCAGTGCTTTAAATTACGGCTGCCATTTTTAACCATTTCTCTGTGAAGGCTAGTGATAAGAGTATCCTAGCAACAGCTGTCTCACACAGGGATGATAAAGAAGAGGGGGAAAATAATGTGCCTACAACTCTGAGAGCTACTGTCCTTTTTATTGTGACAAATTCAATAAATAAATATAATAATAACATGAAATAACACTTTCATTTTTTTGTATGGCAGTTCCTTTATTGTAGCTCTTATTGCTGGAAGTGTTTTTATTGAGAGGTACTAAGTGTACAAGAGAACGTGTGTCTCATGGCAAATTAGTCTGAAATAATATTGCACTCAGAACAACTGTGTTTTTCAGATAACGGCACTTTTTGACATGTCAACAAATTACCTCTCTGTTAAACATCCCTGTACTTGAGCTCAACTGTAGCGCATTGTTCTGTCTCAGTCTTTTCGGTGACGAGTCGGACCTGCAGTTCTGGACGGTGGCGGCGCATTATCTGCAGTCTTTCTCCCAGGCGAGGCAGCTGAGCGTGCCCACTCCTGACAGCCAGCCTCAGGCGGAGGGTTCCCAGAGCGCCCCCCAGAGCCACCTCGACATCTGCCACGACATACTGTGTGAAAGCTCCTTCTTTCAGGTAACACAGGGCACATAGATACTGCTGTCATGATTAAGACCTTTACACACTGAATGCGTGTATATATACACACATACCCCGGTCAGGCAAAACATTATGACCACCTCCTTGTTTCTATGCTCATTGTCCATTTTATCAGCTCCACTTACTATATAGGTGCACTTTGTAGTTCTACAGTTACAGACTGTAGTCCATCTGTTTCTCTGATACTTTGTTAGCCCCCTTTTACCCTGTTCTTCAGTGGTCAGGACCCCCATGGACCCTCACAGAGCAGGTACTGTTGGGGTGGTGGATCATTCTCAGCCCTGCAGTAACACTGATGTGGTGGTGGTGTGTTAGTGTGTGTTGCGCTGGTCTGAGTGGATCAGACACAGCAGTGCTGCTGGAGTTTTTAAACACTGTGTCCACTCACTGTCCACTCTATTAGACACTCCTACCTTGTCAGTCCACCTTGTAGATGTAAAGTCAGAGACGATAGCTCATCTGCTGCTGCACAGTTTGTGTTGGTCATCCTCTAGTCCTTCATCAGTGGTCACAGGACGCTGCCCACAGGACGCTGTTGGCTGGATAGTTTTGGTTGGTGGACTATTCTCAGTCCAGCAGTGACACTGAGGTGTTTAAAAACTCCAGCAGCACTGCTGTGTCTGATCCACTCAGACCTAACACTAACACCCCACCATTGGGGCATGCCTTTTAATCAGTATGCACATTTTCCTTCTGCTGCCCTGTAAGAAAGAATCTGATGGATGCACATATTTCCATGCATTTTTTTAATGCGTGTCAAATTATGTTTTGTCTTGAACAGAACACACTTCTACACATATTTTATGCACAATTGCTGTTTATTTACTGAATTTAACAAATATTGGTGTGAAAAATAATGTGGCCAGTACAGAGGTTATTGCACATAATCTATTTTTCTGTGTTTTTCTAATATGGTAAACTCTGCAAAAAAAAAAAAATGTGCACTTAAGTTTGCAGGGAAAAGGCATATTTAAATTACAGAACATAATTCATGGGTGTTCACACATTTCCATATGACTGTATTAACAACCCTACACACAGCACATGATATGGAGGATGAAGACTGCAGTTGGTTTGTTATGCATTCAGTGTAAGTTCACACCACAACAGTAGACTCAGACAAATAACAATATTGTCTGGCTGGGTTGGCAATTATCTGAAATTCCCCCTCAAAATGAGATTCTGGAATGTGTAGACGTTTTTGCTGAAGTGCACTTCATCAGAGGAGCTTCTGGAATAGAGGGAGGTTTATCTCACACCCCTCTGTCTGTGTTATTAATCACCATATCAGGCCTTGTTAACATTTCACACAACTGCCCAGTAGCATCTGTGACAAGCCTGTCTTGGTAACAGCTCCACGGTGTCAACAAACGCGCGTGCCATTAGTATTCCACATGGCTATAGGGCCAAAAAGTGGAGTAAAAGAAAGAAAAAAAACAACAAATTTTCATTGAGTTGCATCATGCATGTTGCAGTGGGAAACGGTGTGATGGTCCCAGGCAAAGCAGTGAAATCTTGTTTGAAATTTTTTCAAACCAAGAGAAAATGAAAACTGCCACAGACGTGTGGATGGGTTTGAAATTAGATAAGTCAATTAACAACCTTGGATGTGGTCTGTTAGGGCTGTACGATATACACATAAAATGTTCAGTAAGGTTGTTGGATATTGCGATGGTGATATGAGAAGTGATGTACACCGATCAGGCATAACATTATGACCTTGTTTCTACGCTCATTGTCCATTTTATCAGCTCCACTTACTATATAGGTGCACTTTGTAGTCCGTCTGTTTCTCTGCATACTTTGTTAGCCCCCTTTTACCCTGTTCTTCAGTGGTCAGGACCCCCATGGACCCTCACAGAGCAGGTACTATTTGGGTGGTGGATCATTCTCAGCACTGCAGTAACACTGATGTGGTGGTGGTGTGTTAGTGTGTGTTGTGCTGGTCTGAGTGGATCAGACACAGCAGTGCTGCTGGAGTTTGTAAACACCTTAGTGTCACTGCTGGACTGAGAATAGTCCACCAACCAAAATATCCAGCCAACTCTGTGAGGGTCCATGGGGGTCCTGACCACTGAAGAACAGGGTAAAAGGGGGCTAACAAAGTATGCAGAGAAACAGATGGACTACAGTCTGTAACTGTAGAACTACAAAGTTTACCTATATAGTAAGTGGAGCTGATAAAATGGACAATGAGTGTAGAAACAAGGAGGTGGTCAGAATGTTATGCCTGATCAGTGTATATAAGAGCTGCAAGCACATTTATGTGCACTGGAATACTAAACTAGGACACTGATGTGAAGTTCTGCTCTTAAGAAGCATCAAAAGCTGTTTTCTAAAGGCGCCCCCTTGTGGAGAATCTGTAGCCTGAGAAGCCTGAGGATTTTCTGATTTGCAGATATTATATTTAATTACTTAAAAAGGTCCTTATGCTGATGCAGGTTTGTTGTGACAGTACCCAAAAAAGTAGCCAAAACTGCTTCTTATATTTTACCATTAGCGGTTTGTAAATGGCTGTTTAGCTGAATGGTTAAGTCACTTATTCTCCACGTGGGAGAGCAGGGTAAAAACCCAGAGTTGAGAAGCTCTTGTCAGGGGTCTAACACTTATCCCGCCAATCTAACTACACCACCTTGGTGCTGCATGTGGTTGCTCTGTTCTGTGGTGGCAGCCCATAACGATGTGTTTATCATGGAAACTCATTATTTTGATTACAAAAGTACACTTTTTCATGCAGCCCTAGTAGTAATCAAGCAATCATGACTTCACTGTCAGGATTTCATCAGGATTTCCACAGTCTGGAGAGAGAACTAGAACAGCCCTGATATGATCAGTGTTTCAAAATTGCTTGCTGGCTCTACATGTCCTCAAGGACATGCTTTTATGAGGTTAAGAGGTCATGACCCACTCTAGCCATGTTCTGTGGTATGTATTACCATTCAAAAGTTTGTAATCAAATCAGTTTAAATAAAATAAATCTCATTTGGTTGTAGATAAATATATAAAATGATTCTAGTATATAGTTAACCTGTTCTGTTTACAAACTGAGAGTCTGAAAGAGAAGAAAAAAGAAACGTTAGATGTGTCCAGAATGATGAATTGAGTTATATATTGTTCTAAAATGATTGCATAAGCTGTAAAATGTCAAGAACATAGTTCTGATTAATAATTAAGGTAATAACAGGATTGTGTCATATTTCAAAAGGAACTAGACAATTATATTATATTGTTTATCATTTATTACAAGAAAGTTTACCAGTTTTACAGCTATGTGGTCATAGAAGAAGATTTCTGACTGAAAAAGAAATTTAAATGTTTTTATTGCACCTTTTGGGTCCAAGATAGTCTATTCTTTGGTCTAATTATGAGTCTTGGTGACGTAACCAAGTGTTGAAAAGCTTCGGCTTCAAACTACAGAATTCCAGAACAACATCTGGACAATAGTAGCTTTGCATACAGGTTGCATACAGAGGTCTGATTAAACATTTTGGAGCCAGAATACGCCACTACAAAACGTCATCAAAGACAGAGGAGCAAGCAGCGGGTCTGATCTCAATTTGTTAGAATATCTCTTAGCGGCTCCTGAGAGCAGGGTTTAAATAAGTATCCACCTCTCACAGAGAAGCTTCACCCATCCAAGGAACGCAGACTTTTCTAAAGCGTCTAATGCTCATCAAAAAGACAGAGATGATCGTATATCTCAATAACGAAGAAAGTCAGTCTTGCTCCTGATGTACTTTGCTATCCAGCTGCAACAGTCAAAAAGCTGCACTCACCTCGAGACGCTGACGTGGAGCCTTTCGTTCACACTCTATAAACACTGAATGAATGGCAGATTCCTTCACTATACGTCTCTGTGGATGACCATAACTTGCTTGCAGGTGATGTTCGTTGTCCAGACTGAAATGCTGATTCTAGATCCTCATATTTGATTCTCTGTTTTGTTTCTTCCTAATATTCAATTTTTCGCCTGTAGTGACTTTTTGTCGTCTCTTTGCCGATAATGGCAGGCGACGTTCCTCACTTCAGCTTTCTTGTAAATTTTGCACTTAGACACGACACAAAAGGTCGTGAATATAATCATTAAGGACAAAAATTTCCGGCATTTCTAAGCTTACAGGTACACTGCAAAAAAGTGAAATTATCTTTAATATAGTTGATATATCTAATATTCCTCATATTGAGATTGCAGTAAGCCTGTTTAACTTATTTCTAGACATTTTTACTTGTAAGTAATTTCATCAAGGAACAGTATCTCGCTATATTTGCAGATAATTTTGTTTATTTTAAAAATAGCAGAAGAACAAGCAAAGTTATCTGCCTATATAGTGAGAGAATTTCACTAGTAAAAAATGTCTAGAAATAAGTATCATCTCATCCTTACAGCGCTCAAAATGAGAAATATTAAGATTAAATTAAAGAGTAAATGACTCTTATTAGTCCCACAAAGGGGAAATTTCACCTCTGTATTTAACCCATCCATGCATGAAACACCCACATACACACTAGTGAATGCACACACACACTAGGGGGCAGTGAGCACACTTGCCCCGAGCGGTGGGCAGCCCTATCCACAGTGCCCAGGGAGCAGCCGGGCGTTAGGTGTCTTGCTCAAGGGCACTTCAGTCACGTACTGTCAGCTCAGGGCTCAAACCAGCAACCTTCCGGTCACAGGGCTGGTTCCCTAACCTCCAGCCCACGACTGCCCGCTAGACTAGATTCACTAGACGCAAGATCATTTTACTTGCCAAGATATCATTTTTTGCAGTGTAAACACAACCCAGTGAGTATCTGGCTGCTGAATTGCATCAAGGAGCCTAAATATTTGGATTCTATTTGTCAAACCAGCAATAAATTGTCCCTTTAACATCTTCTTGATCCCAAATTACATTAAATATTAAATAAATAACTAATAATACCTTTTGGTGTCTAGCTTATAATATTAAAATCTAGATTGTATGTTTCTGTTGAATAGA